CAATCCAATGGATCAATTGGCGGAAGACATACGAGGGTCAAACTGAAAGTTCTTAGAAAATCAAAAACTGATTACATTAGCCAGTTATTAGTTTTATTATATCTTTTCAAAATATTGTCCATTCACGTCAATACACCGCTGCATGCGATGGAACCACTGGGAAAAGCACTTTGCCCACTCGTCCTTAGGGGTCTCTTCAATGGCATCGCGATACGCAGCCACCGCTTCTTCAGCATTCATAAACCGCTTTCCTTTAAGTTTTTCTTTAATTTTTGGAAATAAATAAAAATCACAAGGCGCGAGGTCGGGGCTATACGGCGGGTGACCCAGTAATTCAACGTTTGATGTCGCCAAATAGTCGATCGTTCGCTTGGCGATGTGCGACGAGGCGTTGTCGTGGTGAAGGAGGATCCTACTGCGAGGTCGTTTCTCTCGAACTTTTTCCAAGACAAGTGGCAAACAATTGGTAGTGTACCATTCTGCAGAAACTGTTTTTTGATCCTCTAACACAATTGTTGCAAAATGACCTATTCTTCCAAAGAACGAGGCCACCATTTTTTTTCCCGCACTTCGATCACTCTTCACTTTAGTTGGCAACTCCTCGAAAGGAAACACCCACTGAGCAGATTGTCTTTTGGTTTTAGGATCATAACAGTAAATCCAGCTTTCGTCACCTGTTAGTATGTCGAACACAGCATTTGAGTCACCTCCGTTAAATCTTTCAATCATTTTACGACACCAATCCACACGATGGAGTTTTTGAGCCTCAGTCAAATTATGAGGTATCCACCGGGCGCAAAGCTTCCTGACCGCTAAATGTTCGTGGAGGATTTTGTGCACTTGACTCATACCGATGCCTAAGCTTGTCCGAATCTGTTGATAGGTCACTCTTTTGTCAGTCTCTATCATACGCCGCACAACACAGATGTTATCTTCAGTCGTCGCCGTAGAAGGCCGTCCTTCACGTAAATCATCAGTGAGATTAGTGCGACCACGTTTAAACTCATTAAACCAGTTGTAAACAGTCGCACGAGATGGGGCTTCATCGTGAAAGGCCAATCGTAGTCTATCATAACTTTCTTGTTGACTTAAATGACATCGAAAGTCATAAAAAATCATTGCACGAAAATTTTCTCGTGTTAAATTCATGATGACGTGACACAGACAATTTTCAATTTGCCGCCAAATCGTAAAACAAATGACAAATGAATGAAATATATACTCAGTAATATTGGCAAAGAGTTATATTTTCAAATTTTAGAATTATTTTTTTATTATATTGTTTATAAGTGGCCAGTTCTAAGAACTTTCAGTTTGACCCTCGTATTTCTAAAAGAAGATACCCGGGATTCGAACGGCCAATAGGTACACCGTACCAGTTATTTTCGCGCCGCAACACCCGCCACTCGGCGAAACGCGCTCCATTGCCGAGCGTAGGCTACGATATATCGTTTGCAAGTTTATACGGAACGCAAACTTGCACGCACTCCACATTTCTCTTTTTCTCGGTGATAAGCCTAGTGAATATATTATTCCTCATCATAGCATTTTACGACCTAGTAGTACATCGACTCTGATGCGTGTTGTGTTCGACGGATTCGCTAAAAGTAGTAATTTAACGTTTCCTGGAATGATATATTATTGATAGGACCCAAGTTGTACCGCGACATAGTAGCGATAATAATAAATTTCAGACTTATTGAATTTTGTCTAGTAAGTGATGTATGTAAAATGTATCGCGCTATTCTTTTGAAAAAAGATGATCGTTGTTATCAACATATTTTATTTAGAGAATCTAAAGATGATCCTATAATAATATACGAATTAAACACAGTAACGTACGATCTTAGTTTTTCGCCGTTTTTAGCTATTAGAACGTTACTTCAGTTAGCAATGGACGAGGGGGAACGTTTACCACTCGCCGCTCAGGTTCTTCGCGAGGGAATTTATATGGACGACATATTATATTCGTTCAAGATCAGTTAATAAATATAATTAAAAGCGCTAATTTCACGTTGAAAAAATGGATGAGCAATAGCGAAGATATACTTAAACGTGTTCCGAAGGAAGGTAGGGAAAGTTCTATTACTTTTTCAAAAGATGAATATAATTGTACTATAAAGCTGTTAGGGCTTCAATGGATTCCGACGAATGACAATTTTATTTTTTCGTGTAATAAAACTGATACTACTTCTACGAAACGTTCCGTACTTAAATTATTGGCATCGATCTATGACCCCGTGGGTTTTATTGCGCCTTGCACATTTTTAGCAAAAGGGATAATGCAAGATCTTTGGAAGTTGGGTATCGGTTGGGATGGTTACAACTCTACAAAGTATTTTAAATGAACTATATTGGATTCCGGCAGCTCGTAGCGTTATTAGGTCCGTTCTGTCCAAGTGTCAAATTTGTTTTAAACATAAACCGTCGTCATTACAACAAGTAATGGCTCCTTTACCACCTGCTCGACTCATGCCTAACAAAGTATATTCTCACGTTGGACTTGACCTCGGAGGTCCTTTTATAATAAAAGAGAGCTTACGTAGAAATAGAAAGGTTTCTAAAGCGTATTTAGCATTATTCGTATGTTTCTCAACTAAAGCAGTTCATTTGGAGGTATTAACCTCTCTCTCGGCTGACTGTTTTCTCGCATGTTTAGATCGGTTTGTAGCACGTAGGGGCTAAAGAATAGAACACATTCTATTCTTTATTCAGATTGTGGAACTAATTTTGTTGCCGCGAGTAAACATCTGACCGAGATACAAAATTTCATAATCAAAATGACATTTTTAATGGTTGTGCTATACGGCAATTGAAGTGGAAATTTAACGTCCCGAGTGCTCCACGTATGGGAGGATTACGGGAAGCCGGCATTAAATCCGCAAAATATCTTTTAGCTCAAAGTGTAGGTGAAAAATCTTTGACATTCGAGGAACTTCAAACAGTTTTTTGCAAGGCAGAAGCAATTTTAAATTCGCGTCCTCTATGTCCATTACGAAATTTATCTTGACAATTCAGTAAAAAAGTAAGTAAGTGTAGGCATGCATTTTTTTTTATCAAGAACTACGATAAAATATCTACCGACTTTAATTGTGGACTCGATGGCATGAGATCTTGCCTGTGGACGCAGTAAAGGTATAATCTCCTGGCAGTTCTTGAAATAATTCACAACTGAGTCTGTAATTACTTATAAACTCAGTGTCGAGAATATTTCTTATATTAAGGCTATTTCGAAGCCGCCGCCGTTTTCTTCTACGGTCTAATCGTTCTCTACGGCGAGCTGACTCGATTAATAGTAATATAGAACCCATTTCGAAAATAAAAAATTGCTAACGAAAATGAAAAGGTAACATTTTTTACTTCGTCAATTTGAGGTAACAATTCCGAACAATTAGATGTCAAACTCAAATGTTCGTTTCGTTATTTCGTGAAATAGAGTAGGTTTAGAAAATAAATACGTCAAACATTTTCGTTCGTTGAATATTCGGAACGAACGTCATTGTAGTAGAAAACGTCCGAAATTTCGTTTTTCGGTGAATTAGAGTAGGCTTCCTGAATATGACTTTCAAGATACTGACGTAAATAGGCTGCCACGTTGGCAGTACGTCCAAAAGTGTTCTCAAATGGATTTTGAAAATTTGGAAACGTTGAAATCGCGAATATTTAAATACACTTCAACAAAGAGCAAAGTGGTTTACAACTTCATCTAATTTAAAGGTTGTTGATTTAGTAATTATAAAAACCGATAACGTTCCTTCTTGTAAATGGCCGTTAGCCAAAATAGAAAAATTACATCCTGGTCCTGACGGTGTAGTCCAATGTGTGACACTCCGTACAGAGAAAAGCATAATACAAAGACCTATTAATGAACTTAGTCCCTTGCTTATAATGATTAATAAATATATATATTTAAAAGTATGATTGTTAAGTTTATTTTATTTTAATTTTTAGTTTAAATAATGAAAAGTATAAAAGTCGTTACAGTGGCTTCTCTTTATATATATATTTAATATATTTTAAAAATCGTATTCATAAAAACCATCGTACTGGTTTTGGTAGGGGGTGTGTTAAGTATTCGATGTTGGACATTTCTTACAATTTGCAACATTGCGTGCGAATTAAAAATATAAAATACACACCAGAAGAGACCAATTAAGTGCCAGCATAAGAAAATACACATATGGATTGAATACTACTGAACTGTCACCATTTTCATCGCCGTGCGAGCTGAAGAACGTTCTGGTGAGTCGTTAATGTTTGCTTATTGTGTGATTTGTCTTACCCGAATTATTCACGCCCTTCTCATAATAAACTACAGTTCGCTTAATTATAGCAACTTAGTATAACATAGATGTAAATAAAAAAAAAGATTTTTATGTAATCCACAGGTTTTTGTACTTATATAGGAATTATTTTCTTTTTTATATGTATGGCGTATTATCATTGTGTCTTTTTATTGTTTGGTATAGACCACAAAAATCCTGCAAAGCTAGACTTAAGTAGTGAAAATTCCGTTGTAAAAATTGGGTTCAATTCTGCCAAACTGCGTTTTAATTCCGTAAATAACTAACAAGAAGACGGCAAGGGTGTGGGGTATTCAAATCATGGTAAGATTTTGGGTGTAAAACGTACTCAGTAAGAGTACTTACACCCTTAAGTTTTAAAGCGCACCTCTCAGCCATTGTCGAGAAAAAAATCATATCGTTTTATCTAAAAAAAAAGAAATTCTTATAATTTGATAATGCGTTAGGACCTTTTCTTTCAATGTTCATACATGATCGAACAGAAACTCACCATGAACAGAAACTCATTACACCCAAAAACTTACCATGATTTGAATACCCCACACCCTTGCCGTCTCCTTTAAGACAACAGAAATAAATCTATTACAGTATAGTGGTGTATAATTTTATATCTTAGAATTAAATATGACTACATAATAACTTTGAAACCAACCCAAATTTAAATTAGTTACGTATTTCGATCAATTCGTTTCACAGTAGCGGTGCGAGCAGTCCAAACGATGACGACGGTACAGAAGACACACGCTCAACTCGCACCATGCCTGACAAAAAGTAACTATCTTCCATAAGTATAATGGCTAGCATTGTGGTCGTGTGCTGTATATTTTGTTACTTAATAAATTTTCTCTCTATTAGTGGCGCTAGTGGTCGAATTCAATAATTTTAATAATAATGTATTTACATCTCATAATTTCAGACTGCACAAAACTGGATTTTTCTTTTTTTTGTTATGTTTTTCATTATTGATACACATTTATTGAGAATAAGTTCTAAAAAAATGTGTGGAGAGGCGTAAGATTTTTTTTTTTAAATATGTACTGTATGTACCCCAGGGTTGTTGCGAATTGCATTCCCCCAGGGTTGTATTCGCAACAATCGATGCTGATATTCAAGTCGTAATGCGTTTGTTAAAGGAGAACTTTTTTCTTTTTTCTGTGGTTGAAGACAAGACCGTGCGCAACTCATGTCAATTGCACAAAAACAAACAAGTTTAAAAACAAGCTGGTACATGCTCGTTCGTTCATTCGCTTGGTTTGTCAATCTAATTTGCTTGAAGCTGTCAATTATTAAATAGCTCGTGATTTTTGCCTGCGTTATCTATCTATATGACTGTACTGGAAAAATATTTTAAAACTCATTATGATCATATTAAACAGGGTTCAGAGTGATAATTATTTTTGATAATTATAAACCACAACACCTCTTTTTGTCATTTAGCACTTGTTATTAAAGGGGAATTATCTTTGAACGACTATCAAATATGTTTTTTTTTTCCGAGAGAGACAAAATGTCTAGGGAGGACCTAATTAAACAAAAACAAAATATTAAAAGCTCCCTTTTCAAAAAATAAATATTTATGTTTTAATTTAACTTTTTGTTCAATGTGATTTAATGGGTATTTTTTTCTATAATTAAAAACAACAAAAATAAAAGTTATTTCAATTATGAATGCTTTTCTGTATTTTAAAAATTGTTGCCAGAAATTACGGATAATTATACAAAAACAAAAATATCTTTATAATAACGAACCGTGATGCTAAACCATCATTATTTAAATTGTTTTACGAAAGCGACCAGTTAAGCAAATAATGAGCCGTGATTTTACATTTCAATAAACATGAGTACGGTTGCACTTGCAACATAGATGTTGACGTTTAGTTTATTGAAATGTGACGTCATTCAATGCTCCGTCATAACCGCCATGTTTCGGCTCTTGTAATTCACAGATTTGGAAAAATAATATACTTACAATTCATTTAAAAAAAAACCGCATCAGTAACAACCCTGCTATACACTTCCCGCGACCCAATGCTGGTGCGTGCAGTTACTCGTATGATTAAAAACATCCACTTCTAGAATGATATCAAATCTTCTGGAAAATTACTTTTAAAGTATCAGAAAACATATGGAGTTAACATTTGTAATTTTACCTTGTTCTTCTACAATTGTTTTTGACACCACAATACACTATAGTATCAAATATTCCTAGAACAATCAAAATTATATTTCTTTGGCTCTAGTCATATAAAGTCTAGTACAATTCGATTTCCTGAGGAAAAGTTAGTGAAAAGCAATGAAAAACAAAACGACCGGTTGACTTACGAGAAAATTTCATTAAAATTTGTTTTTGCGAGCAAGTGTAAGCCTGGCGTAGTAGGTACATTGTGATCGCGTTGTCCTGTGTTATGTCGTATATATGTCACCGGAAAATAACAAGAACCGTAAATTGATGAATTTCCTAGGAAATTTATAAACTATCATAGGATTCTAAAAGAGAGATAAATTGTACTTACCTATTATTTTAATAATCGTTCAGAATCTTACGAATAGATACGTTAGTTTATAAATTTACTATGAAACGTCGCAAATTGATGAATTTACGAAAATGTGAGCGTAAAATAATACAATTGATTTCTCTTTTAGAATCCTACGAAAGTTTATAAATTTTCTAGGAAATGTATCAATTTGCGGTTCTTGTTATTTTCCGGTGACATATACACTGATTGATGATATTTGCATGCGGTGTTCCGCGCTTTTATTGAGCGGCCAATGTTCTATCCTTCGAGCATTGTAACTAAGTCATTAGATATGTTAGTGAAACATGTCTGAAGTGTTTATTGAGAAAAGGCATAAAACTTAATATTTATCACCTCTCGGAACAGGCAGAATCACAGCGAGATAGAGAAGCGTCGACGAGATAAGATGAACACATATATAACAGAGCTCAGTGCTATGGTGCCCATGTGTGGTGCGATGGCACGCAAACTGGATAAGCTGACCGTGCTACGGATGGCCGTGCAACATTTGCGCTCGGTACGAGGTGCCCTGTCTACCTGCCCGCTCACGGCGAGACCTCGACCTACGTACCTCAGCGAGCGGGAGCTTAACGCCCTCATTTTACAGGTATGAAGTGAAATGCCAATATTGCGTCATCATCATTGCAACGTAGTCCGTTCATTTGATTTGAACGGACTACGAGTCGCCCGTATCTTTTTTTCATACAACGAAAGGTAAGGAGTATTACGTCAGATCACAAAATTGTGCAGAGTTAAAAATTGTGACTGAAAAATATGTTTTATGTTTCCTTTATAATCTTTACACTAATTATTATATACAGAATAGGGATCGACATATTCCTATTTTTCGGCTAAAATCATATCATAATCATGAAGCTAATTTGATATATCTTGGAAGTCTGACGTGCAATCATTTTACACACTTACATTAATAGTGAAATATTCGTATTTGGACTGATATTGTTATAATCTGATTCGCTGCTAAAGGTTATGTTTGTGTAGGCGGCTCATGATTGTTTCCTGCTCGTGGTGGGTTGTGATCGAGGGCGCCTACTCTACGTGTCCGCTTCAGTCAAGAATATGCTTAACTATGATCAGGTATGTGAGTGGTATCGTAATAAAACTAAAAATATTAAATTTTCATTGAAGAAACCCATTTAAATTCACGTATTTTAAAGGAAACGGTGGATGTCATGTTATGCTTTCGTCACGAGGTCAGTTGATCTTGTAAACATGTCTGATATGAATGGAGACTGTAATGGAGATTACAGATAAAATATGATTCAAAAGATCTTATGAGGTTGTTTATGTTATGTTTCGTATATTAACGTTTTGCTATCTATATTATTAACGACTTATAAAATTAACTATGAAGTTAGAACATTAAAGTATATTTCGTTGATGTGTTGAAGTCAACCATTGTGTAGTAAGCAACTAAATCTCGTGTTTGTTTGCTTGGCTATATAAAATTTGAACTTTAAATTTTACAGGACAATCATTACGTCGGCGCAGATAAAAATATTATTTACTTAAAATATGGTAGTGAAGGAGGGGAAGTTCTCAAATGGACATTCAACCTTCCACACTCATTAACGTATACTTTCGTAAGACGCTTGACAGATCTTCCTTTAGATTTGCACCGATCATAAGTTTCATATTTTTAATGATCATTATTAACTACCACATATTACCACATCTTGACCAGCTATAGAAGTGGTATTGGTATGTTTCTTGCAGTCGGAGTTACTAGGGCAGAGTTTGTTTGACATCTTGCATCCGAAGGACGTGGCTAAGGTGAAAGAACAACTCTCCTCCTCCGACCTTAGTCCTAGGGAACGGCTCATTGATGCAAAGAGTGAGTCTTTATTTATAAAAATGTATTTTCACTTGTGATGTTGTGCTAACCATACACAAAGAGAAATTAAATCTTATCACATTCACCGTTCGTACAAGAATTCATGTCGATGATTTGCGTCCATGTTCAATAATTAACCATTGCTCTTTAGTAGATGCTTTATAATTATAATGCATCACGTAATGACTAATTATAATTCGCTATATTGGACTTTAATACTCGAAATCTTATACGCCAGCCGCCTTTAATCCGACAATAAGGTTTATGGGTAAGCCGGAAAAAATATCGATTATTGGTGGATAATCGATATTTTTTGTTACTCCTTTCATAAGTTTAATCTTAATGATTTACGGCTTTACAGATATTAAATAAAAATATATTTTATTGACCCGAAAGAAAGAAGATAAGAAATAGACCAGGCGGCGGTTCGTAGCTATATTTCAGCCATTTTCTATTTCTTTGAACGAACGAAAAATGATCATAAGTATGAGCTCGATATAAATACGGCTGATTAAAACCCCTAAAATATTCACTTTACAGGTCCCTCATTCGTCCTCAATACTGTTCTACGCTCTATTAAGTTTTTCAGTTTTTGTTGATCGTCGATATTTTCCAACAAAGTATTTAAGCTTAACTACCCGATATTCTCTCTGCACACTTTGATACTCTTATAGTTTTGAAAGATTTAATGTCTTAAAATATAACTGTGACTCCAAGCACCGTCTTTCTGCCTGTGAAGAGTTTTCTGATCAGCTGCAAACAGTTTCGTCCCTACTAAAAATATATTTTAGTGTAAAGGTGTTGCAGTATTAGTTTAATTCAGAGTGTAGTATGCAAAACGAAAAAGCCAGCTGAAACTTTAATTCCATAATATTTCGAACAGATGCTGCAAAACAAATCAAGTGAAATTATCTCCAAAATCACCTCCTTCCATGGTCTAGAGGAATATAAAAAAAAATTCTGTGTTGTAGCTGACAGAAGTATCTGATTTATTATAAATGATTTTACACAGTGGTAGGGTAGACCGGGCTACAATTAACGGAGGTAGGTATTAACAAGCAGATTTCTATAAAAATATACACACTACATATCCAGTGGGTGTTTAAATTTGTTAACTAGACCACAGCGCATCCTACAGGAATGGTCAGTTGCACTCGGTGCGCCGTGCAAGTGAGTTGTTTTCTGGGCGTCATTTTTAAACAGGTAACGAACATTTTCAACTTTACCATTTACTGATTTTTCAAGAATGATAAGTATTACAACTAAGATTTTTATATTCCCTTGTTACAATTTTTATACTTTATATTGCTATGTTGCTTAATTGACATTTAATGCTGGGTTTGTATTAACGTGTTAATACCCCGGATTTGGGAGCTAGTATTAACAGGGCAACTGAATCTTTTTGTATAATTCAAACTTTATGTTTTATTATTACGTACTTTATTACGTTTTTTGTAACAGCAAAGACGAAAGCACGAAAAACTACTCTAGGCACCACGTCCTTGGAGGTCTACGAGTTGGATGCATTAGTTTAATGCTGTTTAAAAATGACAGCAACAGATCTAAACTTAAAGAACGAAAAAGACAAGGGAAAGGGTAAAGGGAAAGGTAAAAGCAAGACCCAAGGAAATGGAAAAATAAATAACGAGGGGAAAGTAAACAAGGTGAAGAAAAAGTTATAGATGAAAATAATGACTAAGAGGATGAACATAAATATTTTTGTATTGTTTGCGGTCCTATGATGAAGATATATCAGGTGGTGAATGGATTCAGTGTATCTCTTGCAAAGAGTACCACGAAAAAGGATCACGCTGGATATATTAAAGGGGATATCATATCATTCACTTGTCGGAATTGTAATTCAGATGATGAGTACGAATAGACCTACTCTTCCGATATAACCTAAACAGTTCCTAATTGTTGATTTTATATTACAAATATATTTTTTTATAATATGTGTTACTTGTATAGATATTAAATTCTAAGCATTTAATAGATGACCAGTATGAGACTGATTAATATAAAGAAAAAAATATACTAAAAAACATTGATCATAGTAAGTGTTGCTGTTTTTTTTAGTTTTTGTTTATGTTAAATATTTTGTGATTATTTTTGTTAGTTTATAAGAAAACTTGATCGCTATAAGTTCGTATTAGTTTTACTTTATTTAATAAGAAAAAAAATGTCATAAATATATTTGTCATTCTTTTTATCAATCATCATAGCATCATGTTAATTGTTACCCCTTCTGTTAAAACTTACCTCAGACATGTTAATTCTAGCCCCAAACAGGGGGTTAGAATTAACAACTGACTTTTTTGAGAAAAAGAGTTCTGTTAACCACATAATTTCTGTTATGTTTGATTTGTAATAGCTAGACGATGCTGAAATAATTAAACTCTCATGTAAGACACAACCAAGTCTAAATGTTGGATAATTAATAAACTACATTTTTTTGTTAATAGTGGCCCGGTCTCCCCTAGTCATGAGTCAAAGTTTTAATATAAATTGGCACTAGTATTTATATCATCCGTTACCATTGCTATCTTTGTTAACCGAATTTGATGCTACATGCTGTCGAAATGGATTCTCATTAGCTTAAGATGATCTCAAAACTTCTCGCAGGGTATTGATGGAATTGATGTGTCATTATTCCCATATTGGGTCATACTGAAAGTTTTTGGAATAGGCTAGTTAGAAATGGAAGCGATAAAATTTTAATAAAATTCATTTCATTTGGTTTTAAAAATAGGCGGCAATTTTAAAAGTATGTGCCGTACATCGCAATGGACTTGAATAGAGAAAACTTTCGCCAGATGATTATCTATTAAGATTTTCGTTGCGTCTTTCTCAACGACAATGTTATCATTAATTTTAAATGACGTTTTTCTTGATGAAACCTCATCATTTGCCACAGTGATTACATCCATGGGTTTTATGAATGATGAGTAAAACTTGGTGATGATTCGCGAGAAGAATGCCCTTCTACGGCGACTAATATAACGTGGGTGTTGTCTATCTACAGTTACGGTCAGTTTAAGCATCGGAGTCAAGTACAAAAGTGTTACATGTTAATAATTAAAATTATTATTATTTCTAAGTTTCGTCTTCTATCTCCGAACACGTGGTACGAGTTTACTTCGTAAAACTGTCCTTTCTTTTATTTTCAAATAACTTTTAGTATGGCCCAATTAGACAAATCGTCATTTCATATACATTAGCCATAATTCTAGAACATTTAACTATAAAATGCCTTGAGCGAATAGTGGAGACTAACACCCGGTTTCTGAATTGAGTATTAAAAATTAAGCTCGTCTCAAACTCGTTTCTGAAATTAGTTTTTTGAATAATCAGTTGATAGTAGTTTGATAAAAATTAGCAGGTACTTTTTGCCTTGTAAAAAGTAAAAATCTTAAGTTATTGGGAGAATAATCAGTTGAGATTTCGTACCTTTCTCAATTCGGAAACCGGCCGTAAGGATCTTCTCATAAAGAAGATCTTTAAACGCTTGCTTCTATTACTCATGCAAATCTGCTTTTGTTGAGTATCTTCATAAGGCTAGTTAATATGATATTAATCTTTATCGACCGCACCATGGAGCCGGAAGAAATAAATTTAAGAGAGATTTTAAGGAAAATATATGAATCTCCATTACACCAGCACGCGCCAAATTCGCATCTTCTGCCTCCTTTAATTCGTATTGGTCTGCCTTAACTCTATACAGGTATGTGTAAGAGATTCTTTTTTTAAATTATACATTACTTGGTGGGCAGGCCCACCAATTAAGCCAGCAACTTAATTATTATGCCTCAATTCAATTCAAATGCTGTTCTTGAAGCCCTCAGATATGTAAAAGCACATAAACTTGATTATATTGATATATTGTCAGACTCCAGGAGTAACTTTCGGATAATTTTAGCCAATCCCTTTCTCAATCACCTTATATACACTCTTACGGACCATACTGGAATAGTGAGCAAAAAAATCTGTGTCAATACTAAGTTAGCCGTTTATATTGGAAGCTTGTCCATACTGTAATATTTTAACACGACCAAGTAATTCTTTTGGCAATGAGACGAAGTCTATTGCCGTGAAATAACCAATGAAAAGCATCATGTAGGATACAAGGTATACAATATACAAAATCCCATACTTTTCAAAAGTTGACTTTGCAAACTGGGATGATAACATTTTTTTTTGCCGTCAATTGAAGAATATTAAACTCGTATTTTTTTATTTAGTGCGTAATCAATAAATTAATACATTGATTTGAAACAAGACATCACACCTTTGTACGTTTTCTATATAGTGGTGATGAAGCGAGCTTTTTCGTTCCTCAACTTTAATGCCTGTTATCTAATTGATTTCTTGTTAATTGAAGCAATAATATACTTATCTAATGTTTTCCTATTATATGACTTAAAGATTAAATAGAATTTCTTTTCTCTCAGGCATTTTCAATTTCAAAACCCCATTTATATCGTCCACATCAACTACCTGACTAGCTAGCCTAGCTAGGCAAGTGTTCCCTTTTTATGGCAAAAATCAATGTCAAAAACAGCTCAATCAATGAATGCTGGTAGGACGAGGGACGAAGGAACAGTAGACATTTTTTTTTCAATTGTCCTGTATACTCATTTCCCTGTATTATATATATCCTACCATCATACGTTTCCAAATCCACAAATTTGACTTAATCAATTCCATTTCCGTTTATATCCTATTTATCTGTACTAAACGAATGTGTTTGGTTTCTCATAGATAATTCACTAAAATCTATATTCTATTTATAAATACTGTGTCCGTCTCTTCTAGGTTTTAGTATTTTATTTGAACTTTTACTATCAAGCAATCGCAAAAACAAAAAAAAAGCTCAGTACAATTAAAAGAAGAAGAAAGGCATATTAATACAATTCTTTTGTATATATTCCATATATTTTCCTACCGTCCGTTAACGACGTCTTTTAAATGAAAGAAGCTCCATTACATTAATTTTTTTGTTAGCTATGTTGCCACTAAAGGCGGATGTGGTAGCTGGAGCGTCGCGACTGTGTCCGGGCTCGCGTCGATCGTTCTTCTGTCGAATAAAATGTCGCACGCCGGACGCAGCGCTCTTAACTAACGGTACAAATGGCACGACCGTTGCGACCGCCGAGATTGCACACGGAGCCGCGTGCGCTCTCACTAAAGACGATCCCGAAACGAAGTTGCGAAAGAAAAACAGCGCAGAGAAGAAGTACTGTGTCGTTCAGTGTACAGGTACATACAAATCCATAAGAACAATCAACTCTATGGCTACTTTTATTTAGGTATCTTAATTTATTAGCAGTTAAGGTTAAAATCGATTGCTGAAAGATAGACTGAGATGATCTTAGTGATGTGTTTATAATTAATTAGATTTTTGTTTTTAGTGACAGCATTTAGTTCTTTCTTATTTCCTTAATTTGTACTTCTTTATATATGGTCTATGGATTTTTATATATATATGGATATTTTATTGGATGGATTTTTGAGAACCGAAAGGTGTGTTGATATTATCCAAAATGACCACTATTAGCGAATATTAAATTATTGTTCTCGAGAAACTTACGGTACTGTTTTAATGATTATAGTTCAACCATAAATAGTTTTATTTATGTCATGGAATTTTAAATTTGTTTTGTTTATTTAAAACTGATCTAGTAGAACACTCTCACTCGTCACATTTTTTATTGTAACCCGTTTAGGTTATTTGAAATCATGGACGCCAGCGGAGATGTGCGAAGGCAGCGGCAGCGGTGAAGGCGACGAGACCGAGGCGTGTAATCTCTCCTGTCTAGTGGCGGTCGGTCGCGCTCTACCCGATCTGGCGGCTGCGACCGCCACCGCCACCGCAGCCGTGAACTCGAGCGCTCGTATCACCACGCCGCGTCAGTTCGTGCCTTCCTCCGCGCCATCTACTCGCTTGTTGCAATATGTTTCAAGGCACGCTACAGATGGAAAATTCCTCTTTGTTGACCAAAGGTAAGCGGTCTCTAAGATAATTGTTCAAATTGATATGTTGCTATCGTTGAAAAAAAATGTATGGACAGATTATATTTAACAGTAAAGTAAAACTAAACAACTTCTAGCTATCTTTAAAAAGTTATAGGATTTCATATTCGATGCAGACCGCTAATGACGCGGGTCATTATCTTGAAATGTATGTTTAATATAAATAACAGAAAAATTACAACGAAATAGCAAACTACAACAAATTTAAATTATGAAAAATATCTGTTCACTGTAGTATAACGTCGCCAACATATGATATTTGCTTTTTGACACGAACTACGTTCAATTTATTAATTTTACCCACTAGATAGATATCTTACCTTATTTACTTTTACTGTTGTGACAAGTTCATTAGATGAGACTGTTTGATGGCATTTTTTAATCTTAAATACTTCGTGCTTGTGTTTTGTGTATGTATCCGAATGACGTTATGAATATTTGAGTTTTTTAACTTTATCCACGTTTTGGTATACGTAGTTTTGTGGTTTATTTTAATTTAAGTAATCGTTTACAACTACTTTTTTAAGCTGTTTAAAATATGTATTCTATTGTTTTTACAAAAACATTAAGAGGCAACCCGCCAGAATTGTAAAATTTATTTGCGAGGTGTTCCATTTCATTCGCTTATACGGCTCGTATTGATCTACAATTGAAAGTTTGCAAAAAACAAAACTCTTAAATTAAGTTTTATACATATAAGTTTATATTTAGAGTGATTGAAAAATATGTTGTGTTTTTGAAGACGTGTTTCACCGTTTTAAAGACATTGTAATAGCATAAAGCGTGTGTGTTTGTGTATGACAGGGTAACTCTTGCTCTCGGTTTTTTGCCACAAGAGCTTCTCGGCACTAGTTTATACGAGTACGTTGGCGTTGGGGAGTTGGGTGAAGTTGCGCGTGCGCATAAAGCTGCTTTACGCAAACGCACGCCGTTACATACGCCAATTTACTCTTTCAAGAGGAAAGATGGTTCATACACCCGAATACAAACACATTTCAAACCCTTCAGGTAAGCGATGATAGTTTACATGTTATTAGCGTAGTACAATCGTGATATTATCTGCCTCATAGGAAAGATTCTAACGAATGCAATAAAAAAGGTACTAACGTCTTACCATGCCTTTTAAAGAAAAGAAGATACTCGACAGAGTGTCATAAGGTTACCCATATGATGACCGGGGTTTGCCAAAACTACTTAATGGTCCGTGCAAATCTGAAGGAAGATCTGTCGAGCTTATCAATGTATAAATTACTATGTTAATGCTCGACTAACTGACAGATAATCCTTTGAGTGTGCAAGGTTGAGTATCTTATTGTACAACGGTCAAGTAGTGTATAGATAGTGATCGTCATTCGATAACGAGCGAGCACGGTTCACAGTATCAACCAGCATTTGTGCAACTTGTCCGGTGTTATGTTATTCGTATTTAAAAATATTGTTAACAATGAAGGTCCGTTCTACAATTGTAAATTTTGGTATATATAATATACATCGGTGTAAGTAATTGACAGCTTATAATTAACGGAAACCATCAGATTATTATATTATCAATGAAAGAAAACTATGTGTCCTACCCAGAGATCTATTAGAAATTAGAGAATAAATTTAGAAAATATACCCATCAATTAAAGGCTTATAATAATAATTTTGAAAGTAACTCTTAAGAAGCACAAAATGTCCAACGAATCTTTGTAATTCGTCTTATTATTGTGCTGGCCAGATAACCAGTCATTAGTGAATGGTCTTCCATTTCGAAAACACAAGTACTGTAAAAGTGTAAAACTTCGCATTTTAACCCCCCGGACTCACATAAATTCGAGCTGCCGCACTTAGATTAAATCGTTTTTATGCTCGAGTGCGAAATCGTGAGATCACGCACATTTTTCGACCGAGATCAATCTTGCTAAAAAAGGCCGAGATTTCGCGAGAACGAGATTGCATTCCCTAGTACCAACTCGCCAAGGAGCTCCTATGCAACAATAATATATATTTCTTCAACACTACCTCTAAATATATTATTGAAAAATGCTTAAAATATCCACTTTGTCCCTGGAACTCTGAGATGGGACACGAATCCATTGGCAAATTTCATTAAAATATTACTGTTTGCCCTTGTGATTTTCTCAGTTAATATTTTCTCGCCTTTTTTATTTTTGTATTAAATTTTCTTCTTAGGTCTTAGTGTTCCCAGTCTAAATAATTTGAACTGTGCGTTAATGGTTATTCAGTTTAATTTTAATATATGTATAGATAAAACTTAATGTTTATATAATTTATTAAATTTTATACCATAAATGATTGCCATTTTTTTTCCGTTATATAACTTTCGCCGCAGGAACCCATGGACAAAAGACGTAGAATATCTGGTAGCCAACAACACGATAGTGGCCGGCTCTGTAGGAACAGCGGAGCCAGATGAATCACAGGAAGCCTTCGACATGTTCAAACAAAGTCAGTATCACACGGATATGGATCTATGGGATAGATGCCTATACTAATACATTATATGTACCTACCTACATGTATGTTTATATCGCAGCTAACTTGTCAATTGCCGTTCATTTGGCCGGCTATCCATTTAATTGAATGGCGTCATTTAATTGCATGGTTAGTCTTTTTTCAAATTATTACGACATTTAAAACGCTCAATATAACGGCGCCGCGCGCCATGGTACCCCATGAGTCTGTCTTTGTAATTTTTGTTGATAGAATGTCTTTTAGATGTTACGATTAAAATTAATAAGATTAGCGGTAAGTTGCAAAAACATCCATTAAGGTTTAATGTCGCATTAAACTAATTTGTGCAAGTGGCTGTAGGTATTGTTAAGAAAACTGTTAAACGTAAATAGCGTTCTACGTAAAAGAGACAACTAAATTATCCCGTGTTAAGATTTCACGCAAATTAATAAATGTTATTTTTTTGTAATTTTAGGTGACAATTTATTGAAGAGTAAACTATAATTAGAGGGTGGTAACTCTTTAGATAATTTATTGGTTTGTGTGTTAGTACTTAATATTTGATTGTATAAGACTGGTGTTAAGGTGATAAAATTTTCGATAGTTAGTTAATACCCGTCTTATACAATCTAATATAATGCAACGTGAAAGTTTAAAAGTTTATACTTAATATTTGACCGTGTGCTTCAAGCTATGTTCACTATTCATTATGTAATTTCTTCACTCGGTCTAATCTTAAAATAATACTACTAAAAATTTTCATAAAATTTATGGCAATTTATTGATGAGTAAACTATAATCCGAGGGATATCACCCTATATCAAGGGTGACCACCCTCGGATTATAGCTTTAGAGAATTTACTCGTTTGTGTGTACTTAATATTTGACCGCTTCATGTTATGTTAGCGGAAGTTTCAGAAGCAGACGGTGAGATGCAGAGGTTGATAGACTCCCAGGTAGAGTCCCACAAGATCGGCAGCACGATAGCGGAGGAGGCACTGACTGGTTCCTCTTCGGAGTTCTCGCCAGATTTGCCGACTGATCTCCTTCAAGACGCAGTTTTCAATCAGCACGTAAGTAAACTTGTGACATATCTCAATTTAATATAACACTGGGCTAATTTAAATTGCTTCTCAGGGCCTGATCTCAGAGATGGCAAGCAGGGCAAATGTCCAGAACGGTAAAAATTAGAGGACGGCGGATGGTAGGATGGAGGGTTCAATTTTCAAGCAAAAAATTTGTATAATTCTTATAATTCAAGGGAAACCTAGGCTCATATTATCTCTCTATTTTCGATTCATTTTTTTTTCGTCACCCCGATGTTTCATTTGGTCGAAACACTTAGTTACCGAGGTTATGCTTTGCGAAAATAACTGTAAAGATTAATTACACCACTATATTATTTGCCACTAGCTGGTGTCTGCGTCTTTGCTCGTGTGGATTTTCAATCATGCCAAAGTCATTGTAAGCTTACATTTTGTGTTGTGGACTGGGTAGGTTATAACTTAATTAATCTGTAAAGGTAGAATTTGAATAATTAGAACAATGCTACTGGTTTTAAAAGGAAATCATTCACCATTTCAACTTCTTGCTTCTCCACTTTTCTTTTAGGGTTTGTAGGAAAACCGAATCATACAAATGTTTGCTTTAATATTTTAATTGCATGTAAATTGATTGTCATACAGAATATTAGAGTTTAGTATTATCGATATCTGCAAGCACTACCTATGTCGATAACTGACGCTGTCGGTATTAATATTTATCTAATATTTTTTCTTACCGATGAAATTAAATTTATTCTTTTTTTGCAGACTCACATTTTAACTTAATAATGGCACAGCTCGGTATATTTTCGTATTTAGCGCCGCACCATAGACCATTATGACATTGTGTAAATACTGCACTGGGCATATGAGCAACGTGACGTTCATATAACCGTTATGGGTGGATGAACGACCCCGCTCACTTTATCGTTCTAACTTTTGTATTTATTCTGTGATATTTTATTTTTTAGTTCCATTAAATAGGTATCATGCTTTTCGTATACTTTTATTGTTATTGAACACTAAAAATAAAATAGCATGCGTTCTGTAAGGCCGTTTAACTTTACCTTTATTTAAAAAATTTAATTGCCTGTCAGTCATTGTTGAACGTGATGTACGAGCAGGCATCACTGGTGGACAACGTCCTTGCTGGCGATCAGACGTATCAAGTGAGGAACAACGTCCCACTGAGCGCTGCGGGGGCACAATCACCCCCCGCGGGGACAGGCGCCGCCGCTACCACTGGCACCGCCGTTACGACTGCAACCGAGTTACCCACCACTCCCCCATCCGCTTCACCCCCGCTACCCCCCTTGGTACTGGACGGCAATGGCGAGGCAGCGATGGCGGTTATAATGAGCCTACTGGAAGCCGACGCAGGTTTGGGAGGACCCGTCAACTTCTCAGGCTTACCTTGGCCGCTTCCATGACACACGGCCCCCGAGCAATCCGCTCCGAATTGTAAAATGGCCGATTTCTCATTCTAATTCACTAACTGAATTACCACGTCGCCCGGTGTTACATTTATGCGACATTACCCAATTAATCGCCCATTAAATGCTCACAAACCATTTTATAATGTATATACCATAATAAAATAATAAACGGTACTTTATAAAAAATACTCAACGAGTATTGTTTTCTTGCAACAAGTCCTAGCCCGTTTTCAGGCTACCGTCCAAAAGGAAATGTCGACCAATGTAAATTTTATAATAATATTAGAATGAGAAATTATGCCATCGTGTGGACTCTTAGTGAAAGCTAGCAACGTGATTCGTTGTCGACGAGGACAATCTATAAGTGCAATGTTTTTTGTGCAGTGTAGTGTATCGATAGTTAAATAATAAAGTTTAGCCAATATTAGTTGCTTTAAGAGAACATTGTGGGTTAATTGGTCCCAATATTTTTTATATCGAGAGGATCATCAGTGACTATATTATTTGTCATAGATTTATTACGTCCTAGTGACGTAGGAGTTACTATTGACTTGTTTTTGGATCTTTCAATGGTTATTTGAATAGTGTTTTAATATTAGGCATTATGTACACTTCGCCTTTGCAGTTTATTCTATTTATTTGCTCAACGACCACCGACGTTACTCACCGCAAATGAAAGTTACCATTACGTTAAAGTATCTACTATATGTTATAGTCTAAAGTTTGATCTAACTTTATGATGGGAATGGACATAAGCCAATATGTAACTTATATGTCAACAATGACTGTATAATACATATTTTTTGTTTTTAAATAAATTTTATTTTTTATCTATATCTTTGGAATACGATATCCGAAACGTGGGCGGTTATGATAGAGCATCGTATGATGTCACGTTTCAATAAACTAAATGTCAAGGCTTTTGCTGCGAATGCAACCAGTACTGTAAACTGCTGCAATTTAGCACGAAATTTCGGCTTTTTATGAATATCTCTGGAATGTGTTTGTAATTTGCGCCCTTTTTTACATTGACGAGCGAAATTAGGATATAGACTACAAGTTTCAAATTGCCATAACTGCTGCCGAAAGTTGCAAGCAAAGCTGCGATTAAATTTTCCAACTTTGCCTAGATGTTGTTTGGGAAAATTACACACTGTATTTTGTATCTAGTCTTAATCTCAAATCATAAAAACTGTGTTTTCATGGAGATGTGCATAGTTAGACATAAATATATGTGCATAGTTAAAAAAAATAGTTTTTTTTCTGACAAATAGTCAAAGTTGGGCACAAGTAATCGATATTTTATAAGAAGAAAATAAAAAACTTTATAAGAATCAAAGTTTAATACTATAATGTTTAATAACAATCTCACGGTCGGAGGGAGGATCAAAAACCTTAATATAAATATCACATGTTATTAAATTTGGTAAGACATTACTAAATATATGCTTCAAAAACCTTCATCTAAGTGGCACTAAAACAGTCTCATACATCTTTTATTTTATACATACAAGAATACATTAAATCCTCTCAAACTTAAATTTTATCTATAATGCTGTCGGTAAGCAACAAAGTTACAAAATCAAATACAAAAAATTATATTTCAGTACCTTACAATATATTAAATTAAAATGAACCAACGTTAACAAGCTCACAAACTAACATATATCTTTTAACCATAATAATTTTTTACTTATTTCAACCACAACTATATAGAACTATTATAATATCTAACTTACATGTTATAACCAAAAATAATCATAATTGAACAAATTTAGAAATAAAGGCTTGGTTTTGTAATTTATACTCCTCTGGCTTATCAGATATTTTATCAATTGTGATTATCTTTTCTATTGATTTTTTGGTTTGGTATTAGATGCTTGACTTAGAGAACGAACGTTCCAGCTTTATGTTTTTAAATCTGAATTTTTATGATTTTTTTTAAATTGCCTCTGAAACTGCCTCTTTCTCCAACATCGTGTCATAGGGCCGAAAAAGACGACGTCAAGGGGCTGGGTAAGATGCGTTGCGTTTGACGGTAAAAATATTTTTTTAATAATATTTTCACCGATAACTACTTTTGGCCCTTCGCGTGATTTGGCCCAAGGTAAAACGATTGTCTCAAACCAATTTTCAAACCACCCTGATTTATTGCGATTATACCTAGCATTTGGTGGACCGAATACGGATTTATTGGGACCTTAAGTTATCGGCTTTATAAACTACGTAAGGTGGTAACATTTCTCCATCTGCTGTTATGCTGAACATTATTTAAACCAAGATTTACATAGCATTGAGAACGCGTTCAGGATGTTTTGTCACTCGCTTAAATATCGCTCTACTTGACCCTGGGTCATCGCTTAAGTTGGTTTCATCAAAATTCAGAATAATTGCATGAGGAACATATTTTTGAAAAAAGCTGTCATTTCCTCAACAGTTTTTGACGCCCGGCTACGTTTAATATTTTGGATGGCCCGCTGTGTAAAATCGTGACGCGTTAAAATGCTCGTTCGAGCCCATCGTTCACCAGGCATTCGGCCTTTAAACAAATCCGTCTTTCCACATTTCGGAAGGTAATTATATACCACTAACCTCAATCTACTAAAGTAAGTGGACTCCCGAATTCTGCAGCAACTTCAACAACTTCTGCAGTATGTTGTTCTTCTTTTGCTGACAGTTCCTGTGGGCGACTTTTGCATTTATTGAAAATTGTACGTCTCGGAATGCCGAATTGTTTTTCAGCTTCATACGACCATAGTACCTTGCTTTTTACCAAATCTTCAGCAACGGCTAATGTTTCTTCAGAGTAATCTGCATATCGTCGAGCTCCAGTTTTTCATCTTTTTCCCATATTTATCTCCATTGGTCTAAAAACCTGAAAACATGCACTTGTAAGAATTGTTTACAGTTTTTATTCTTTTAAATATCAATATATTCCGTGTTTCGGAAAGCACGTATCATGGTCAAGATCGCCATGTAAAAATCATTAACGGAACTACCTACGTCAGAGGCCTTCGGGTGTTTCATAAATTTTCACGATAAGAAGAACAGTAATATCAAAGTAGTGAATAAAGTACTGTACTAAACATTTGGGCTTTTGGAGTTTTGTTTTAATCATGTCTTAATTAAAACGCCTCGTCAATAGTTATCGCAGCGCATGCTTACAATAAAAAATAGTACCGAAACTTTTTATAAGTTTTCTTTTACAATTTGTAAAAAGTAATTAGTTTAAATAAAAAATTTAAACTTTATATTCTCACTGTGAACATTACCATTTACTTAAGTAATAGTTTGAGATTTATAACTCTGCTTATATGCAGCTAGCTAAAATCTCAAGTTCACAACTTACCATATACTTTAATGCTGTAGTTGATTAGTGACAACCCTAGCTGTAGACAATCTTATAGCACTATTAGCCAAAAACCATTTGCAACATTGTCTACCGTGATTCCAGGTGAAATTGATCACAAAAACAACAAAAACAAATAAAAACTTTTAAAGAGCATATTTACTTACCTCTTAAACAAAAATACAATTGTATTGATTTTATCCAGGAAAACACAAAAGTTTTGCGCTCACATAAAACACGCTCCCTCCGCTTGTAACAACTGACAACTAACTAATGTCAAACCGTCAGAGTTGCCACTTAGAAATATAATAAAATATAATAATAATATTTCTCCTATAATAATAATAAACCAATATAATAATAATAATTCTCCCATTTAATAAAATGTAGCTATTCTCAAATTATGTTCATTTTAGTTTATTCGGCAAACTTGAAGCTCACTGGCAAAGTTGAAGCAGTTTACGGTACTCATGTTTATTGAAATGTAAAAAACGTAACTGATTTCTTTCGTGGGACAATATTGAAATGATTAGTTGTTTAGTTAATATATATACAGTTTTAAAATGATTTTCCCTTAACAGTCGAATTGTAAATTATACTGTAGACCACTTTTACCTGGTCAGACTCAGAACATCGTATTGGGGAACGAGCTCCTATTGTTTTCCTTTTTCCCTTCAGTATTGCTACAAACGACCAATTTTTCTTGATGAAAGTTCAACATGTTATTATTAAAATTATATAGTTATCAAGTACATTTACTTTCTTGAAACAAACGTTTCTACGATAGGCTATCGCAGCAACACTGTTGCAATCTCTGGCCGTAATAATATCCTAAACTTTATAGAACGCCTAATAAGATTCTTGCTCCATGAAACTTTGTGTTTTTGCATAATAGTATGTTAAATAAAATATATTTTGAATATATATTATATTAAATAGCTTCGAGCCAAATTGATGTGATTAAAAGATTTATGATATTGTCCTAGAGTTAATTTTGTATAGATATTTTCTTCCACGTCATGTGTAATCAATTTAGTGTATAAGTAATAGTGAAAGGTTATAGAATAATGTAATATTAATGTTATATTTAAAAACGTGTGAGTGTTATCTATAAGAATAATATCTATTCTTTGTTAATCTATTCCATGTAATATAATTATTGTTTTGGATTAGAGGCAATGCGTTCAGCTACCTTATTCGAAATGATATCAAAAGGATAGATGACACAAGGTTTTAAAGTTGTTATTTTTGTGTTTATATTTACAATGATAGTTAGATGTCAAACCGTCATAGTTGCCACTTAGAAATATAATAAAATATAATAATAATAATTCTCCCATTTAATAAAATGTACCTATTCTCAAATTATGTTCATTTTAGTTTATTCGGCAAATTTGAAGCTCACTGGCAAAGTCGAAGCAGTTTACGATACTCATGTTTATGTAACTGAAATGTAAAAAACGTAACTGATTTCTTTCGTGGGACAATATAAATTCATTAATGAAATGATGTTTTCCCTTTAGTAACAGCACATTTCGGAGATAAATAAACCTGATAAGTTGTTTAGTTAATATATATACAGTTTTAAAATAATTTTCCCTTAACAATCGAATTGTAAATTTTACTGTAGGACACTTTTACCTGGTCAGACTCAGAACATCGTATTGGGGAACGACCTCCTATTGTTTTCCCTTTTCCCTTCAGTATTGCTACGAACGACCATTTTTTCTTGATGAAAGTTCAACATGTTATTATTAAAATTATATAGTTATCAAGTACATTTACTTTCTTGAAACAAACGTTTCTACGATAGGCTATCGCAGCAACACTGTTGCAATCTCTGGCCGTAATAATATCCTAAACTTTATAGATATTTGCATAATAGTATGTTAAATAAAATATATTTTGAATATATATTATATTAAATAGCTTCGAGCCAAATTGATGTGATTAAAAGATTTACGATATTGTCCTAGAGTTAATATTGTATAGATATTTTCTTCCACATCATGTGTAATCAATTTAGTGTATAAGTAATAGTGAAAGGTTATAGAATAATGTAATATTAATGTTATATTTAAAAACGTGTGAGTGTTATCTATTAGAATAATATCTATTCTTTGTTAATCTATTCCATGTAATATAATTATTGTTTTGGATTAGAGGCAATGCGTTCAGCTACCTTATTCGAAATGATATCAAAAGGATAGATGACACAAGATTTTAAAGTTGTTATTTTTTTGTTTATATTTACAATGTTAGTTCATGCAACTTTATAAATTTTAATATTGTGTAAATGTATTAATTTTGATATTTTATTGTTATGTTTTACATATTGTATATGTTAATTTTACTTTGACGTATGTTGTTTATTTTTAGATAAGTTTGGTAAGCAAAGTGACCAGATGTATTAAATAACATCAAAATTTGAATCATTGATTAAGTAACTGGAATTAATTAATTAATAATTAGTCAATTAATAGTGTCACCGTTATCTTTAAAAATAAATTCAATATTATTTTTACATTGTTTATTATTTCTGCCTAATATTGTCAGGGTGTCTATTTAATTGTGCTGTCCTAATGCCATTCTGTTAAAACCCAGACCCGAATTCAAATTCACTCATGTGTCTAAATTCACATCATTTAGTGTAGAAAGTCTATTGATTCCATTTTTTAAAGAAAAATACGAAACACAATTGTTTGAATATACTTGTATTCTATTCTATTCGTATGTCATTTCGAAACTCACTTATGCCACGAAACGTTATTTACCAATTCAAGGTTGAGCGATGCCGCTTTTTGAAGTGAGTTTGTACACCTGAGTGAATTCGAATAACCGTGTTACTCAATACTATGATTTTAAAGGCGAACGAACGAACACTATAGCATTTTTCTAATACTGTAGATTATGATTCGACATTACTTACGGTCTAGCCCGTTATGAATTTCTTGCGTAGGGGAAACTGACGGGATTTGAAACAAAGGTGAGTTGAAACAGTACCAATTTCTCGGAACTTAAAACCGTTAGCGAGTTAGCAACTTCGCCTAATAACTATTTTTTTCCGCCCGCCGTGGTAGAAGTTCACGTCGGTGGTGTGCATCGCCCGGTTGTGGAGTTCTGTCAGCCGTATGTCAAAAAACGTGAAAAGTAAGTTTTTTAGGCTTTGTTATGATATTTATAATTTTATATTCTGTCCTCTACATACATAACATGAGATATTGGACATTGGCTGCAGAGCAGACAAATGCCACAGCACACACTTCACGAATGTAGCACACAGCGTGACGGGTATTGACGCTCCTAATTAATGTCTATGCTAACTTAATTTATTTATTTTGTTTTAGAATGCCCACTGATTATAAAAGAAAGACTGACAGGGGTATGGCAAGTCGCGAAATATATGATCTCGCAGCAGAAGAAGTAATTTTGTGTCATAAAAGTCTCCGTGACGCGATTTCGAGTTATAATGAAGAGAGTTGAAACAAAATTGACTTGTTACGGTTTAGTCGATGTTTACCACAATATTTAACGTTTACAACTACTTTACATCATTCGCAAGTGTAAATAATTACCTATCGATTGGTACTAATATCATACGACGTCTGTGTATAGTGTTTGGTTTATGAAATAAAATATCAAAATTATTTCAACTCCCCTCGGTCTCCCCTACTTATTACGCTGCATCTGCCCTAAATCGAAACGATGTTGCTATGCAGTGGCGGACTAACAGTGTCGGGGCCGGGGGCGGCATCAGGTTCGTAACTACAACCAGTGTCGTATGTCTATTCGGCGCCAGGGTCAGGGCGCTTGTGCACTACACTGAATTTTCAGGTCCGAATTACCGACAAGAAATTACCGAGGTTCCGAAAATCTCATCGTACCTAGCATAAGTGACGTGTAGCTTCAAAGAGAGCTACCATAAACTGCGCCACTCCGATCAGGAAAAAAACGGACAAGTGGACAAGTTACACATCCGGGTTTTTCATGTCATTCCGGACCGGAAAAAATTGGAACACCGGACCTGACAATTCAGTGTAGTGCACAAGCGCCCTCAGCCTGCGCCCACGTTTTCTTTTACACGCTGCACGCGACCTACGACACACTGCAGTATGAAAGGGGTCCTAGTCAACAATGAAAACACAATACACGTAATTTTGATAATTTATTTATTTCTAAAAGTAAAATTAAACTTGAATTATACATATCAAACCCAATTATACAAATAAAAAACAAAACTATTCTCCATTCGAGTTCATTTTCAAGAATAAACACTAGAAAATGTACCTACTACTAATGTACCTTAAAAGGTGAAGACTTTTCGTTAAAAAAAAGAAGATTTTTCGTTAAAACTTTGTTACCAGTGTTCGATACTAACGCAATCATATTCCTTGGATAAGTTACAAAATACTCCAAGAGCATTCTGTGACGACTCCTAAGCCTTGAATAGGTTTAGTATGCAGTAATTTATTTAAAGTAACACAATAACTGTTCAAGAATAACGCCGGTAATAAATAATATAGGTCTATAATTACTATGGTCTTCACTATTACCGGAATTAAAAAGAGGTATAACTTTGCTAAGCTTCATAAGATTTGAAAAAAACCTTCATCTATACAACGGTTAAACATGTCAGCCAAGTAAGGGGCTATAACATGAACTATACTTTTAATAATATTAAGAGACATGCCCCATAAATCACATGTATTTTTTATTTCAGACATAACTCAGTTTATTATATACACGCAGCATTTTTATTTTATTACCGCTGCCAAATGAGACTGCCAGTATTAATTATTCATATTTTCTAATATTGTAATGGAAAGTGACTTCATATTTTAATGAAGTAATTTTTCAATTTGACGACTCTGTATGAAATAAAATGGAGAATGTAGCAGCCATGGCAGTTTTTTGCCGGTTCTTCTCGGTATAAGGTTCTCGCGGTAGATTTACGAACCGATGGCATAGAATTGACTTTCACGAGTGCTTGTAACACCCTAAACAGAGTAAATAATTTTGATTTGATAATATTTTCCAAAACATTCAGAAAGATTAAACAGTAAATAAGTTAGTACCATTTTACGTACCTTTAGCACCTGATACCCGGAAATTGCCCGTCAATGCAAGCTAGTATGCATACACTCATCGCATATACTAACGTTAAGTAAATTTTGTTTCTGAGAAAATAAGTAACGTCTGGGGGCCCTAGGATCTTGGAATATGGCATATTGTTTGCTACTCCGCATTGTCAGCGCATTCTCGATGAAAATACAATATGGTTATGACCGCACTTATGCTCTCCCAATTTAGCATTGGATTTAAGCGCAGCTTTAATTATCCATCTGGCTATAAGCTTATTTATTGACAGACATGCTATTCCGGCCAAGCCTGCTGTGCAAATATGCTTAGCGAATGTTCTGTTAAAATTCTTTGTAAACTATGCAAACTGACCCTTAATAGTTGTTATTGGTAACCGACCCTTAATATACAGCCCATACCAATAAATAAAACAAAATAACTCTTAACTACTTTATTCAAATATTAACAAATTATTACATGATTGTATTAATACAAATGCGTTTCGTGCCGCCCGCGCTCTACCATATCAGCGGTTTTTATCGATGATTGTACTTAGGAGGCTTAGTGACCACTGAGAAGTCTTAGTGTAATTATCTGTGTGCCGGGATGACACATTTTAGTTTGGCAACATTTTTATATGTTGAAAATAAAATGCCAGCTACTAAGACTAGTGTGATACGTTCCACTATATTTCCCGTTGCCATCATTAGTTTAGTGACAACGAGAAATAAGTCAAACGAACTTGTCACGAAATAAAATTTTAATTACACCTGTCCACTACATTTAAAATTATCAAAATCAAATTTTGCTTCTTAACAAGTGCGAGGAGAATTTCATTAAGTGACAAGATACCAGTTTTGGTGTAACAATTCAATAATTGTATAACAATTATATTTGATTTTACTATGATATATTTAGTTTTATCCCTAATATTACGAATACTGGTGTGCATGTGATGGCGACACGAATTTTTTATTTCCTGTATGCCATATTCCTGTTATGTCGATTTATGATTTCATTAAAATTTAGCATTAACTCGATAAAATTGTAAAGGCAAAACATTATTTATAACTACTGTCAAAATTGCATTTTTTGTATATTACACCATATTTACCGAATTTAAGTTTTTTTTTTTGTCATAATGGGAATGTGGCGTACATTAGGCCGTGGTCCAGTCGGTGGTCTAGTCGATGACGTCACCATACTTGTTGGTGTGAGGGGACGCGGCTGAAGGTGGAGGACGGGGTCTTGCTATGGGTGGTGTCATTGACGGATCCATTCTGAGTACCAATCGGATTGAAAATAAATAACATTAGAATAAAATTTAAGTGACAATAACTTTTTATTTTTATATTAGGTCTATTGCAATGTCTAACTGGGTTATGTATTTTTACTATTAGCTGTGCAGAAATAAATAAAATGTACCTGTATGGGTCTTGCTTAGCATCGGCGTGGTCGCCGCGGTTGCGCCGGCGCAACTCGTCATAGGACAACATTGGCGATGTAGGGCGCGCAACTGGTGACTCGCCAGAGATAACTATTTTACACCAAACAGTTTTTATTACAAGAACTCATGTGTGTGCTCATGGAAGTATTCGCAGCTGTATCGATGGCTCATATGTATAAAGGCCATTTTGAATATCAAAGTTTTTTTTTTATTATAAATCTGAAACTTATTCTTTTTCAATTATATCTAATGTGATGTTGATTAAAAAATATATTTCATTAATAGCTTTATTGGAATAAAAGAGATTTCAAGCTGCTTTTTTATTTTACAAATTTTGTGAGTTAAAAGAAAAGTTAATGTTTGACGCAACTGCGTTTGCAGTCGCAAACATCAACCGATCCGTACTGGGTCCGCGTGGTTGAAAATTAGCCTGAGTGATCCTTCCATAAGTCTGCACCCCAGCAGTGGAGATATTAATAGGCTTTAAGTAGATAATCTGTTCTTACCTCCTGTATCTGGACGATAAGAGTCGTCGAAGATCGGACGGTCCGTATCAAGGTCCAGGGAATTACCAGGGCCCGCATCCGAGTAGATATCATTTGGACCTGCGCCCAACATTGACGATGGCGGCTTCGACATCGGCGGGCTACAAATTCATAATTAAAAATATTGCATCAAAATAGTGCCAGTTAATATCGAAAATAGCCGGTGAATTGTTAGTTTTATTTTTTTTTGTCTCACAGTACACTGAAAATTTCTAATGTCCTTTTTTAATGACATACTGGCAGTTGTATAATCGTTTATTAAGATTTAATAACGACGTCAAGCTCTAATTAATGTTCTAAATTAAAAAAAATTAATTGGTAATGACATTTTAATGTTCGTTTGTGCAACTGGGTACGCTAGTGATGTGTCTTCTTTAATGCCACCAAAACATACATTTATAGAACCACATAGAATCAGTTTTAAATTACCTTCGTAACTGTTAAAGGAAGAAGCACGATAGAGCATTCTCTAAATGTCATTCCACAAAACCCTGCCTTCGTTAAAAATAAGTTTTTATTTTATACATTTTCGGTATCAGTTAGAGACTAGGCGCGATTGGTGAGATTCGCAAATGATGTATATTTTCATATCAGTCTAATTTGTGTTAGAGATTAATTTAAGAATATCTACAAACAGACTTTTTGTATAACTCTTGATTACATTATACGTAATACAAAATTATCATTTATTGTTTGGTGACGACTTTGTATTATATCATGTAAATATATTTCTGCTTGTTTTGTAGATTTTTAATAAGGATTTTTAAAAAAATATGCAGCCAACTGCCTCATCATTTATATTGCACCTTATCATTTTTCATTATTAGACAATTTGAGAATTAGATCAATCGAGCCTAAAAAAACTGAATCGTTCCTTACGCTGTCACTTTCCCATCACGCCGGTCCCGCAGCAGTTGACCGATGTAGCTACCGGGCAATGCCATCAGCTTCTCAGCGCACGCCTGTTGGTATGATATTTTGCCCACAAAGTAGCCCACAATGACCGCTAGCGTCACTTTCGGGAATGCACCGAAACGTGGATTCGGTTTCAAGTGGCCTGAAAAAATTGTCTATTTGTTAAATATTCTGCAATACAGTTAAGCTGCAGCCACAACAGTTTCATTAGTTTCATTTAGACTGCCAATAGATGGTGCTATTTTAAATTTGCTTTTATTTTCATGTACTTGAATAATTACATTCGGGTCGTAATTTTGCTGGCGGTAATCTGTTGCTATTTTAAATTTACCGTGCATAGTAATAAAGCTTATATATGTAATAAGTGATTTCTTGAATACAGTAAAAAAAAAACGAATTTTATTTTAAATATTATGTTCGCTAAAATGAGCCCACCAAGAACTTCTGGATCTTATCCTGACACGATGCAGCATAAGAGAAAATCAATATGTGATTGTAATATAAAAGTCACTCTCCTAATTTCATAACGAATTCGCAGTCTCAAATCCAAAATCTGCATAAGTTGCCTGAAGATTTTGGCAAATAGAAAATGCAAATTTTGGAAATTAAGAAAGCCAAGGGAAAAATTATTCAAGAACAGTCACAAATTAATGAAGAAATAAAAAGTTTAAAGTTCGTTAAGTACAGAGCCCCAAATAGTAATAATCAAACAAGATCTTGCTTCAACTAACCATACACTCGTTACAAAAACAATTACATCAGAAAGATAAACAAAGTAGATTAAATAATCTGGAAATCTCTGGCATACCCTCAAGGAAAGGAGAAAACCTAAGTACTATTATGTGCAACAGTGCAAAAAAGACAAATTTCTTTATAAATCTTTCTGATTTTGATTACATTCATAGAGTCCGTCGTTTTGGATCCAAATCTGGAGAAAACCAATTACCTCAATATATTGTTAACAGATAACTCAAAACTAAATTCTGGCTGCAGTGTGATCTCGCCGTGTACTTTGACTTAGAATTGTTTTATTTTTATACGCTTATTTAAACATAGAATTTATTATTTTAAATAATGACTAAGTACAATGATAAATTATCTGTTTCCTATGAGAACGCGATAGGTTTATGAGTAATGTGTAGAATGTTGATTATGATGTTGTTGATTTTTAACCAGGATTACTCGATATATCGCACACCTAGATCTAAACTAAGACAATTCAAAAAACTAATGTGGAGGTCTGACAATACATTTGTTTACGTGGCAGGAGCGCGACCACTGTTGATTCAACAAAAGAAAGCTAAAGTTATTTAGCGGCTCATCCTCGAACCTTTATTGAATCTGTTATGAATAATTATGATCACCGAGTATTTGAATATTGTACTAACAAGGGGGCATGACGAGTAGTCATCACTGATCATCATCACAAAAATGATTTCATATAGGTACTATCATGAAAAAAAAAAATTCGCGACTTGTTTACCATATAAGCTATAAATGTTGACAAGTTTACCAACCAGCAGTTTTTTTTTCTAAACGCTTGGCCATCTGAAGTTCCCACTTTGGGTAATTTTATCTCTAACCAAGTCCTACATGTCCTATAAATTTGAGCGAAATCGGTGATGACAAGTAGGTAATGCTCCCTTGTAAGTCAAAACTCACTCAAATTTTTGAGTTTTCTCAGTTTAGATCTAGGTGTGCGATATATCGCGTAATCCGAATATATCGCAATGAACGACTTTTCCAACGCCGAATTTTTCGATTTGCGATAATGTGTGTCGCTGTGATCGAAATATCCAAGCAAGCACGTGTGGGAGGGTAGGCGGCGTTATTATTGCAGTTCGACGTGAACTTGCGGCGTTTGCTCGATATGACTGGGGTAATAGTCCTGTTGTAAACTCGTCTTGTAGCACTGCACGTAACGCACGCCCATCGCAACTAATGCCATAACACGTTTGATAACACTTATTAACACTATAATATCATCTGCTGAAAATAAAATAAAAAATCCCAAATATTTTGGTCATTTATAAAGAGCAAAAGATCTGAGGGGCAAATTGCCAGTAGAATTACATACAATGGGTCTGTTCTGACTGATGTATACGATAATTTTGAAGCTTATAATAAACATTTACAGTTAGTATATGTTTCTGTACATAACGTTACAATATCCCAATATATATGGATAACAAAGAAATTGTCTATATGGCTAAAATTTATGTAAATAAAAAACTATCTTGAATTAAAATCAGTGAACATACATAAAGGCACTGGCTCTGATGGAGTTCACCCATTCTTTATTCGGAGCTGTGCCGATGAACTTTTCTCTTCAATTTATCACATTTTTGAAACCTGTCTGCGATCTAGTATTTTCCCCGAAGGATGGAAAAAAACATTAGTTCCACCAATTCCAAAAAATAAAATGCGTGACTTTGTGGATCAGTATAGGCCTATTGGTAAACTTTGTATTTTCGGTAAAATTTTGGAAAAGATAGTCACTGAGCAAATATATCACTGTCCAAAACCGTATAACAGAGTCTCAGCATAGTTTTTTAGGGGCTGTGGTGTTCAATCTAATATGATAACTTTCACAATTTTTTTAGTTCTTGCTATGGATAAAAACAAACAACAGATTATTCAAAAGCATTCGACAAAATTAACCATGATTTATTCTATGCTCAATGAACTTTCAACCAGCACAGTACACTCCTCAGATGGATAGAATTTGTGCCCATAGTCAGGCTGTCTGTTTAAAAGACATATGTTCAAATTTCTTACCAGTTCCCTCAGGCATGGCTTAAGGTTCGCATTTAGGCCATTTGTTATTTACGCTATATGTGAACGACTTCAAAAATTATCTGAGTGTCATTACTGTCCTTATGTATGCAGTGTTTATATATGCAGTACATAAAGACAGTCTGTCTGCACTAAATACAGAATCCTAGGGATTATAGTCACCAAACTCTTTCTAACATTAATATCGTGAAATCAATCTACATTAGTCTGGTATATTAAATTCTTGAATTTGGTAGCAGTATGTGGAATCCTGCTGACCAAACACATAATGATAGAGTAGAAAAAAATTAAAATCTTTTTAAAAAAGTTTGGACTACAAATGTTTTCTATACAACAAACTTTATCTAGATTTCTTAGAACATTATAATATGTCAACATTGGAGAAGCACCGTAAGTTAGCGGACAGGGTGATTCTTTATAAAATAATTAATAATAAAATTGATCATACATCAATTTGCCTCTCACATCCTGGCCATGTTTGTGTCTCCTCTACTCAAAAAATTAAACACACACATGAAATTTTTTCCTTCACTGCAACTTGATATTTTATAGTAAACAAATTTTCAAAGTAGATCCATTTGTCACATGCATTGTCAAATTTTAAAAAGCATGTCAAAGATATTTTACCACAATAAGTTTATTAAAGTGTAATCTGATATTGTTCTTAATTTACAAAAAACCTTACCAATGTATGCTCACTTTTATTGCAAAGGAATAATTCTTTCGTCAGATAGACTTTACTGTTAATCTTTGCATGGCTGAGTTAAAGACTTATTATAGAGTTATATTAAAAATAAATAAATAATGAGACTTAATATATTATAGTCTATATTGTAATAAATTTGTAATGATTGTTTGTCAACAATAAATAAAAAAGAAATTGTTTTGAATAGTAATCTATTGTAATATATTATTATTCAAATATTACTTCATATTGTTGGCACAAAATTAACATAAGACAAAACAAGAAATCTTAATAGATGTTTTGTTGCTTTAATATTCACAACACTATCACAGTGTTAGTTTCCGAGCTTATTTCACAATTTATTAAAGTGTTTTGTAACAGATTTTGCTCAACTATAAATATTTTTTTTTATTCTTACAAAACTGATTTTAGTTGTTTGTTGAACATAGTTCATCCCTTTGCAGATCAAGAATAAGTAAATAATAAACAATAGAAGTAATAGCAGGAAGATCATAGAAAATTGTTGTTTCTTATATTTTGGAGCATAATATTACTCTATACAATTTCAATCTCAATTATATGTAATATAATAATCAATGTTGTTGACAATTCATCTAACTATGCTGTTTTATTTAAGATTTTGAGAAGTAAAGTAATTGGTAGATCGTACTATCGATCGGTACGATCGGGTGTCATCAGTGAAAAGTCATCTTGGAACTAAACAAGTTGGCCACCCCTGCCATAGACCATACCAAATATGATCAAAAGTTTATAAAACTATATATTAATTTAGTAAAAATTAGCCTCCCCAGCCTCTTAATCTCACATATATCCACACAAATCCTATATATATAAAGGAATCACCAAAATGTATGTTATGCGCCTATCTTCCAAATGACTACACCAAATCATTCAGTTGAATGACTGTTTTTTAAGTGTTTTTTACTGTCAGGACAAGGTTTGTATATAAGAAATTTATAATTTATAAAATATGGCAGTATGAAGTTCGCCAGGTCAGCTTGTATATTATACAACAATGTGGCAATGCAACATGAATGAGAGAAAATTAAACAAATTCACTTTTTCATTTATAATATTAGTATGATTAATACACAATGAGTACCCGAAGCATAGAGACTTGCATTCAAAACAATTATTGTTAATGAATAAATGTGCCCTATCATATTACACCTTGTTAATTAATAAACAATATGTAAAATAAACAAAACAAAATAGAGAAATTTAAGTAGCCTAAAACAGATTTCCTTTCAAGCAACGTCGGTTCAGAGGCATGATGCATGTACTATATTTAACAAAATTTTAGGGAGCACAACAATCTGTCTTATCCACTCACTTGACCACCACCTTAAAAATAAGAGAGAATGGCATACTCAAACTAATTATAGCATTAAAACACTTTATAGACCAGAAAATCAATACTGGTAAAAATAAATACATTAAACAATATCTTACATTAGGCGGTACAAGTGACAGTTACTATATTAATAGCCAGTAATAAAGTCTTTCGCAAATAAAATGTACCAATCCAATTGGAAAACATACATGAGATAATAAAAATGTATATTAGTATTGTATTAGTACAAACTCACCACTCTGTACCGCTGCAAAAGCACCAAGACCTAACAGCGTTCCCAGAGGCATGGAACGTTGGTAGAAGCTCTCGCGGTTACATTCACTCAGCACGCGCAGTTCATCTGGCGAGAACTTGTACTGCCCCTACGCATGAACATCGTTACACCTCAAGTCACCTTTTTTGGCTCAAACTGAAACATTATAGCCTTACCGGGTAAGCCGGCCCGCTGGGGGCAACAGGCGCCTGACCCGGCACCTCCTCTTGATAGCCAAACGAACTAGGCTCGTTCATCCTCACCACTTTAACAGCATGGAATTAGAAAAGTTCGAAATAATTATGAAACTGTATAGATTAATAACTACAGGCTTAGTAGGTATTAATAACCTATCTTGTTGTCACTGAAAAATGACCTCACGACCTCGACCATCGACGACACTTTTTTTTTTAATTTATTCTGACCATTGAAACAAGTCCGTCAGTCGCATACAAGAAAACAATAATTTCTAACTTACATGACTAAATAACAGAAGAAACTCACATAACTAGATAGAGAATCCTGAACTCGGCAGGAAAGACCTATTTCATTGCGTTTACTCAACCCCTAGTTGTTTTGAGAGTCTTTAACATTCATCGCACATCATGGTGCTCCTATTACCGTGACTATTTATCTCCCCACTTTTTTGGCATCGGCGAAAAGTTAGGGTATCTCCAACACAAAATGTTGCTAGTGCCGTTGATTCACATTTATGTTCCCCATCCTTAGCTTCCCTTTTTACCTGGACAATACTTCCTACTAGCCATGGTAGTGATCACTTTTAATACCCAGTACTCTAAACGATCGGTTAAACATTCAGACTATCCCCCGGACCCATTTGAAATAAAATTTGGCATAAGCAGATTGATCAGTATACAAAAGTAATTTAGAATTAGAAAAAACAAAATTTCCTCCCAATTAACGGTAATTACAAATCCATTCCTACTAAAAGTAGTTTTAAAAGTAAACCCTGGTCTCCATCCTGATGAGATTCTAATTTTGCTAGGGTCTGCAAAGAGAGAAAGGCATACGAAGAGATACATAAAATATCGAGCTACTGCTGCAAAAGCCGTTAAAACTCTTTCAGAAAAAAAAAATTATTGGTTGGCACAGGTTTTGTAAATCCCTGTCACTCAGAACACTTCCATCCTTTCAGTTTCAATCATGGTATCTCATTATCGGTTGATAAAAGTAATATTGTTATTTTTACACTTTCTAGAACTATCCGGCATGTCCAAATTAATTATTTTCTTATACTTAATTTGGACACGAGGGAATTCATCCCTTTGAAAAATCAGGTGAAATTCCTGGAAGTTATCCAAGACTCCAAAATTATGAGCAATGTCCCGTACATTGTTCATATGGTTAAAGAAATGTGAAAACATATAAATATTATCCTCGTCGGGCATTTGGTGGGGGGCCCATCCTTTTGTGAAAAACTATTGTATAATGCTTTAATTCGTAAATTTAGGCTATGCCTCATTTCTTCTGGAACCTCGTCTGAAATTATTCTTAAAAACGCTTGATAAGGATCACTTTAGTGTCTCTGTATTGTTGGCTTCTCTGGTCTTTGGCTTTCGTTGGTTCTCTGGCTTTCAAATACAGAGTTACATAAACTGGATAAGACTATAATTTTCACAGACTATAAGTTGCCTTCATGCTATTTTACCAAATCATAGCCTGGATTTTAGGCCATTCCGGTATCGTGGGCAATAAGACAGTTGATTTAATTGCAAAAGAAGCAGCTAACATTGGTAACCATTTCCATTCCGAAGTATTCTTCTACGAACTAATCTCCTTGATAGTCAAACGGAGTTCATGTTGATGGAAAGCTCAATGGAAAGCATCAAGTAAAAATGTAGAAAAATATTACGCCGATATTCAAGATGCTATCCTTCCTAAACCGTGGTTTTGTAACTTTGAAAATGCATCTAAGTCATGTACATCCATTATATGTCGTCTCCATTTAGGGCACGTCAACCCTTCCATTTTCTTAGCAAAAATTAGGATCAAAGCTCACTTTGTGAATGCGGGTTGGGCGTAGGAACAGTCGACCATTGTTTTGTCCTTAAGCTTTGTATGTTAGACTGTATTATTTGTAGATCTATTAAATTAAATTAAATGATTTCTATTAAATTAAATGTGATAATAATATCTCTCTGATTTTCTTAGAATTTAAAAAGGTTTTTTCATTTTTGTTGCCTAAAGCAATTATAGGTTCAGTATCATTTCGTTATTTGCAATTTGATTGATATTAAATTCCTTCGAGTATTGACTTTTATAGCTAAATTGGGGGTAATTATTTATTATAATTATAGGTAGGTATTGCTCTCACCACAGTGGCATAAGATTATTGTCAATAATTCTTCATGTTCTCTGCCATCTTCTGTTTCTTCACTCGACAATCTCGGGATATAGCCAAATAGTCGCCGTTGCAGTTGATTCAAATAACTTCGTCTACTTCGCATTATAGAAATATTATTATTCTTTATAGAAGTGATGCCCACTCTGTACTCTCTTGAATGGTTCTCGATAAATAACTTTTTTTTAGTTTCCTTTTGTATAAACTTTATATTTATCGTTCTTTGTGTTGCTGCTAATCACTTTTATTTTAATAAAATGAAAACAAAGTTTAAAAGTTAGCGCTCTATTTGACTTCCCGCTGAAAGTCCGACGACACGACAGACAACATGATGAATGTTGCCAGTTTCTAAGATCTAATTCTAACGTAAAACCATAGATTTATGAATGTAGCATAAATATGTTAAAAATTATAACAAATCTAATAACATATTAATATCAATTATTGAAAAGACAGTAAGGAAGCATTTAAAAAAAAAACGAAAGCCCTAGAAATGCACCTCCTCTAGATGCAAATCAATCTAGCAAAAGTTGATTTTTGCAGGAGACGAATGGATCAAAGACAGAATTTTCTGTTCCTTTTAACTAACATATTAAAAAACTGAAATTAGAAAAGTTCCAAACTTAGGTATCAATACAAATACGAAAAAGTACAAATAGAATATGAGTTGTTTATTGAGTTTTGAAAACTAATTTATTTTTAAACATGAAAGAAAACCGGAATCAAGAACGTACCGTAGCGACATCTAGTTTGATTTCGGGAACAAATGGTTTCTTTAAATACTTCCTGATTGTAATAAATTACTCACAAATGAGGAAGTAGGTATTAAAAAATTAGGTCCCGTAACTAAAAAGAACCCGACATTGGTTGTTCTTTAAGCAAAGAATCTCGTTAACATAGCCACAACAACTTCACAAAATAAAATTAATTGCAATATATATAAAATAAAAATACTAATTATTTTATTTTACATAGTTTACAGTTTATTTAAATTTTATTTTATTGCTATTGATGGTTTTTATTATGGTTCTATCGGAACACAATTTTTTAATGGATTAATGACTCATTAAAAAGGAAATAAAGAAGTAAAATGTATCAAACAATATTTATTTATATTAAATAAATAATTTATAAAAGTAAGGTCTATCAGCGTTTTTGTTTTTGTTGATTAGGACACTCATTTTGTTTGTGATATTGGCGCATCAATTCACCTAGTTTGCTATTAGCTGGCAGCTTGCGTAAGCGCTGATCACAATATGGCGAGTAGGCGACTCTCCCCAACACGTGGCCAACTAGAGCCGCCGTTAATACTTTCGGTACCACACCGAAATTGGGGTTCCTCTTCAAATACCCTAGAAGAAGACATTCATAGAAGTAAGGAGAGAGCGTCACTAAAATATTCATTACAAAAATGGCCTCCTTCATTGCTCAAATAAACCAAATTAGGGCTTATTTCTTGCTTTTTATATAATACAGATAGAACCGAGCCGAGTAATCTTACTTCTATGAATATTTTCGTGGCGTCCCTATTATTGAAATAATCTCTATGTATGAGGTCAACTAATTTTGTGAATAATTATTATAAATATCTAAATTAAAAGATTGCAACAACTATTAGTGTCGTTCGAAGTCTCTCGGCTTACACAAAGAGGTCCAAGCTGCAAGCAACCTGAAATACGTAAGCACTATAGTCTATTCCTAGTAGATATGAATCGCTCACCAAAGACCTCTGCATAGTTTACGCGTAGTACTGCGTTTTGTTGTACTGGGAGAGGTCAGTGACTAACATAATACTTTGGGTCAACCCCCTATCTTATTACGGCAGCAATAATGCAGGGAATTGACCAAAAGTAGTAGTTGTATCTATAGTATACCTGAGCGCATGCTCAGGTCTAGCTAGACTCGTGCTGGACCAAGCTGGCTCCTTGCCGGATCCTGGATCCTTCTAAGAGGGTTACTCTTGTAGCGGCTTTTACTAGGTAGGCTCTTAAATAATATGTTATATTATAAATCTTATAGAGTGATTATTGTTTAATTGTAAAATAAATGGTATGCATAAAATCAAGAATGTGACAGCCAACATTTCGCGGTTATAAACCAACTGTTTTGTTGTTTTTTTTAATTCAGCACTTTAATCTGTATCCTGGATTCTATATTTAGTACGTGTACTTTAAAACAAAACAAAGTTTTTCCCAACCGTATAATTAAATAAACCAATATTCTATAATGACGTCTTTACAGGTACTAAGATCTGGCTCAATGTCAGAGCAGTCAGATGATAAAAGATGACTGCAGACCTATGTTGATGATATGATATAATTGCATACTTACGAGGTTAATGCATTATATTCTATTACTTTCTTTATTCAAAATTCTATAAATCTGATATTTTTGATAAAAAACGATTTCTCTACTCTCGAAAGAAACGCTCGAGAAACTAGAAAAACAAGTCGAGACCGAGATATGTTTATACAATATTTCACTCTCGCTCTCATTCTCGCCCGTTACTCGAGTCTTTCGAGTTCTTCATTCTACGTAGGTTAATAAGATACGCGTGATGTTGCTCGGTAATAAGCACTGCACAGACGTAAGTGGTGTCGGTTTGTAACCTTCTTTATGTACTTCGGCTAGAGGTAACATACTTTGTAAATAATACAATTAATCAGTAAATTAACAAAAAAAGGTCAAACTCACCGTTTTTGACGGCAGCATATGTGGCGGTACCGAGTAATGTGCTAAAGGGCAGGCAGCGACGATAAAAACTTTCTTTGTCGCACTCTTCTAAGGCTCTGATTTCATCCTGCGTAAATTCATAGTATCGCTGAAAGAAAAAGAATTTTTGTTAATTATACCTATACCAAGCCAAACCCATTTTATCTCTGCAAACTTACTGAATTGATTATAAATGTGGTAATTTATTCAATTTAATTAATTACTTACATCGTTACTAGGTAGTAGTTGAAATGTTGGCAAGTTTTATGCGCCATTTATTGAATAAAAAATGCATTGCAACAAAAACGACGCAGAGTTCCATGGTTAGCAATACGTATCGGATACTTTTAACGTAACGCAGAATACTTTGGGTCTATGCCCGTTTTTTATCCTGCTCTTGACAGACAGACTGTAGGAGAAAATATCAATTTAAAGCTAATTAAGAATGCTTACCAGCGGATGTGTTATGTTACGGAGAGGCGGGCATGCCTTCTTATTGCGAGACGCCGCGTAGCAACTGCAATCATCTTTCTTTTCAACATCTTTTAATTTATTTTTCTCACTCATTATACTGAGACTGTTACTGATACTTCATTGTAAATTTGTTCGTTGTCGATAGGTCGATAGTAGGCGGGTAGGCACTTTTAATTTAAGTATGCATAATGTTGATTGATTTAAACAAAATTTTTAGTTAATCCATGACAGTTAATTTGTTGGCGACTGTGATGTTGACACTGTCATATTTATTTTTTATTGTGACATAGGACATTTACATAATCTCTCCTAACATCTATCTTGAAGTATTATATTTATTATTTCTAAAGTCAAAGTATATGTCTTTATAAAATACAGTATGTAGTATTACCTAATGAAGTAAACTCCTTTACGTTGAAAACCTTCTTGTTTAAATTATAGTTTGTGCCTGCCATATTATGAGGAAAAGAAAGAAATTATAGTTTTTATTAATGACAACTTGGTATTTAAATTGTTATTTTGACTCTGTTCTTCTTGATGTTGTCAATAAATGGAATTTTTAAGTTTTGGTTGTTTGTAAAAGCTTTTTCTTAAATTCTACCTTTAAGTTTACCTACTGGAGCCTAAGAATACAATCAAAAAAGTTTTGGTTGCAACATACTTTTTAAAAACATAACTATTCTCTGCAATTAACAGAATGTTTTAGACCCTATATACTAGCTAGCAATCTTACGCCCGTCTGTATGATGAAAACCAAAGCATATAAAAAATTTCATGCCCTGCACATTATACTACGTAAATCAAAATGAATCGCCGAAAAGTATGTCACATAACTTCCGAACCACTGCATCAAATTGCATGATTCTTTTTTATGTGAAAATTTATAAAAGAGAAAATTACCAAATAAACAGGTATATGGCGGTATGAAATTCGCCGGGTCAGAAAGTATAATAAAATAATCTATGCCTGTAAGTATATCATACAAATACAACCTCTTTTTTCACGTATGTAAGGCTGTAAACAGTAATAAAAATTATATTGACAGATAGAGAGTACTTAGAGACTACTGTTACTCTAGGTCATGAATACCTTATATGCCAAGTAAACATCAATGTCAAATTCGTAGTCACTGAAGAATTATGTGGCAAATTTACTATAATACATTTCAAAATAGAGGCGGTACTGGGTGGTAGGGGCATCATTGTAACTGTAAAAGGCGGAGTGCGGATGGCGGGGCCAATCAGGTTGACATTCGTTCTGGTGACGACGCTACTGACTCTTAGCGGAGGTGTTCGGTACGGAGGCGGTGACTATGCTTTACATATGCCCGCGTATGGTGACGACGAACCACTACCACCCGACCGAGATGACTATCGGGCACACTCTCCTGATTATAAATATGAGGAGGACCTTAAAAGTACGCCGTAAAATGTTTTCTTTTGCTTTCTAAACATGTTCGACAATTGATAGGTATATTCAGTTGTAACAGGCATCAAAGGACACTAATAGAACTAAAACAACTAACACTGATGCTCAACTTTAACGTAATATTAACTTACCCGTTTATTATTGACAATAATCGTATCATTTGAAGATTCTCAAGTAAAAACGTGCCTCATTATGAAACATATATTACCTACATATTGTAAGGTTGTGACTTTCGCTACCAATATTAAGGTTAGAAATGATAATCTATTTTTAGACATTGTAGTCCCTTGATTTAATTAACCTGACGCATCATTTCAGGTAAAACTGAAAAATCTTTAGATGAAGAGATGAACGTAGCGAATACTTGGCGAAGACCCGCAAGGAAACAAAGAAGGGGATTCGATGACGAGTTTAGGCAGGACGATTTGGATAAATACGAGGCGCACGGAGATTCCTTGAACACTAATTCTATAAGTAGATTCACAAAACATCGCCCTCGACATAAAAGTTATAAATTCGATGAAAACGGTGACGAAAATCGGAGGTTTTTGAAGAGAACAATTCGAGATCGGAGTGATATACCAGAGACCCCTCTCGAAAACGATTCGCACTTGGACAAAGAAAGTTTTTTAGATGACAGTAAAAGTTATAGTAATAATAAAATGCATTTCACATATCGAACAAAGAGTGTAAGGCCACGCCGGCGGCCGAGAGATAGGCGTGAGAGGCAGAGGCCACGTGATGACGACGAGAGCCTTAGGCCGCAAGATGAAGTGGGAAAACCAAGGCCGCGATTGGAGGACGAACGTGATTTGGTAGATATGGATATGGGGCGAAACTTGGACGTATGGCAACATATGAATAAAGATAAAGATCTCGTTGATCGACGATTATTCGACTTCGAACGACCCACGCGACCACATCAGTTAGCACCCATTCGCCCAGATGATCAGGCTTCAGGTGAAGAAGAATCGGCCTTCCTTCGCCCTTATAAGTCATCGGGCATGAGTCATGATCGGCAGTATAATAACTACAATGACTACTACAATGAGGATATGAAGAGAGCGATGGATGTAAAAAACAAATTACCTTCCATGCGCCAGCCTCAAGGTGAGCTCTACAATTTATCAGTAATACTGTAAAATTAGTTTCTATTAATTTCATTTTTAAGAACCATTTCTTGAAAAAATCGAAATATTAAAAAAAAAAATTGTTCATAATTTGAAAATTAATAAATCGCTTTCTCCATTAAATAATTACTATTTAGTTCGGGTTTAATTATTTCACGTTTTATGTATGTATTTACTCTGTGATAATAGAAAAGAGGTAACATGTGGCTTATATGTGCTCAGAGCCGCAACAGCTGGTGCCAGGTCCCTTGCCGCGGTCCTCTACTGAGTTTCGGGCGAACCGTCGAATGCTCCTTGATTCTACCACCAAGCGACCGATCCCCACCCACACCATCACGAGAACCGAAGCCAGTACGACGGTTCCCATTCCATCTCCAAAAAGCACTACGACTGTGATGCCCTATAACACTGTGAACGGTTCGATAGAGCTTTCGCTTGCGGAAAAATCTCGATTATCGATCCTGAAAAAGGTTCAGAGAAAAGAGAGCGGTCGCAGCGACTTGTCAACGAAGAAACCGCCCGTTTTACTACAGGTGACGAAAAGATTACCTACGGTTGTGATGGTCGAACCACCATCCAGTAAGAAACCCTGGATGCGAGCTGCTGAGGTGACAGAAGACACGCCTCAACGTTTACAGAAAGTTAGACGCCTGATGCGCCAGAAACTACTCGCGAATGCGCGCAATATTCACGACCTTACAGAAAACTGGGACGACACGGTGTGTGATTACGTGGATATGTCGCTTTTGGATAACAAAGCTCATACTTTCTTCTATCAAAGTCAGTGCCTCACTCTTATATCTTTTATACTTAACGTGATAATATGTCGCTGTTAGTAACATTCGGAGTTTGGTTATAGTTCAGTGTTAGTTTATGTTGTGGTTCTGTTTTGTAGTTATGATGATTTAATTATAAACATAAGTGTATTAATAAAAATACATAATGTTTCATTTGTTTGATTTTACTTCAGACACGGAAATTACAGAGATAACAGACTAGGAGAAAGGAAATAGTATAATATTCTAAGAATAAGTATTCTGCGATGTACTGCCGTAAGGTCGGTCGTAAGACTGGAGACCAAAATATTTGCTAACTTGCATGCGCCTGTGCTTGGGAAAGCACATTAACCCATTGACCCTGCAGTCGTTAACACCAATTGTTAAAAACAAGTCGTTAAAACCAATCCGTGTTGGGCTCATGTGATTGATTACAATCCGTTCTATCCATAGTGAGGCCTGTAGGAAAACTAATAGGCTGATGATGATGTACAACAGAAAGTCTAAGTACTTTCTGTTTTTCATAATGTTTGGCTGGCTGGCTTTAGATAATGTTAGAATTAAAAATAAACAAAATATTACTTTTGAATTTCGAATCTGTAAAATGGAGTGGTATGTTATAGAGAACTGAATCGCTGTGATTGCGTTGTATAAAGTAGGTATGGAGCCAAATACAATTTTTAAAACCGCTTGATAGTAATCAATTGTTTGTGCATCGGGTTATTGATAAGTATAATGAAACCTCCTCTATTTGTGACAGAAGAGATTTGTCCGAAAAAAGCGATCAAATCAGTAAGGAAAACATTTTTTTTTTAAAAGAATTCGAAGATTTTTTTACAATAGAGCAGCGTTTAAACTAAGGAAATTACCGTAATTATGTTCAAAGCACTCAAGATGCTACACGATTAGTGAACAAAGTACAACGTAGGGATTATCCGACTTCAGTGATGGTTTGTGAAGGTCACTCCTTTATAACTAAGACCCCACGTGTTAGTTACAAAGGAGTGACCCAACCATATTTTTGTGAAATAGGCATCAAAACATCAGTACAAATGTATCAAGATACTATTCTCGAGAAGTTAGTTAAGCTTCTTAACAAAATTATGTTCAATAAACACGGGTCCTTTCAGCAAGACTCGGCGCCAGATTATAAAGCTCGATCCAACCAATCTTGGTTAAAAAACGGACGTTCCGGACTTCATCAGAGCTCAAGATTGGCCGTTATTTAGCCTAGATCTTAATCCACTGGATTATGATTTATGTTCAGTTTTATGGTCAGCTCTAAACGCTACGATAATTTGGATTCCCTAAAACAATCCATATGATTGGCAGTTAAGAATTTACCCATGGAAAGTATGCATGCGTCTATTGATCTGGTCTTAACGTTTAAAGCACTGTATTGCAATCAATGGAGACCACCCCGAATAGGCTATATATATTTGTAATTAATTAATAATATCACATTGTAGTAATAATAAATATTATTTGTCTATGTAGCAATATTTATGGCAAGACTATGTATACCTTTCATTGGAAAATTATAAAGTGACGTCACGAGTGAAAATTAATTTATCCCGTAGTTCATTATTAAAATTTTACCTTCTTTAGTTACAGAAACAAAATGGACTACGCCAGTTAGTGTGGCAGAACGTGAATTAAGCGCATTGCTTGGCTCTCGTAGACTTCGCAAAGATGCACTTGATGCTTCCGCAAGTGACACATCAGAACTAGTTCTCACGAGCAGTGCCGGTTTATCTGGAGCTATCTCAACTAATATATCCAGAGCGGGTGTAAATGCGCAGGTTTAAATGTCTCAATTATATTATAATCGACAATATGAAATACTAGGTGGGTGGCTAATATGCCATTAAGTAGTCATACGATAAGTAGTCTTTCTTTAAGTTATCTGGTAATGTTAAAAAGATTAGATCAGTCCGGAATACGTGTTGTTTTTTTGTTTTACTATTATTTTGAGATAATGTTTCTGAGAATGAGCAAATGCTTCGAAACTTACTCAAAGTGAGCTTTGGAGTCTTTTTCATGCAATATTTGTTAGCATTCAAATCCTCTTTAGTTTGCAATCAACGGAGAATACGGAAAACAAAGTTGTAATGATGAAAGCTAAAATTAATGTCTTAGTTTTAACAAAATAAATGTAAGTCAATGTAATAAAATTTCATAAATGTTACGGTTATTATAATATTCTATTTACTATAGGTCCTTAATAAATTTACTGGATATGCATTTCTCCAAGCAGTAGCGTATACTCTAAATATACGTACTCAGTTGGCCACTTATAAAATTAGAAGATGATGACAAAAAAATGTATACTAAATAAATATCGACAGATACCGCACCTCTTGTGCTAGCGTGGATTCAAATAGATTGTCTTTTTAGTCAGAAATATCAAAGCTCTTATCTTCTGTTTCCACCTCCTCTAGCATGTGAGATATTCGACGATCTAGGTTTTTGTTAATGAACACAGCAAAGAGAGGAATGCTTTTTACAAAACTTTTTTATTGATATTAACATAAGGTTATAAAAATAAAATGAAAAATCCAGATACTATTTTTCTGATGATGTTTGCTCAATAATAATCGGTCTCGTGCGAAAACTAAAACAGCAATCTGTACTTATTACCTACATCACTGAAGCGCAACCGACATTCGTTGATAGATTTAGTAAACTGACTAGAATAAGATTGCGGACACATTTATCCCGTGCGACCGCTAGACTGTTAATTTTAAGAATTTTCATTCAAAATTAATTTGGGTTTTTTATAAAGCTAATGTCAAAAACCTATACTTTTTTTTTTTTTTTTTCAGTATGGACTTGTTCCGTTATACACGGAAATTTTGCCAAAACCTATACTGAGGATAAGTTTTATAATGTCAGTTAACAGTCAAAAGAATTAAAGACAGATAATTTTTTTTTAATTGTATAATTTTTCATTTTATGACTTTAGTACATTATCAATGTTGGTTTCCGCATAATAAAATCGCTAAAAGCAAAGCAAGCAAAATATAAACTATTTATGATCTGGTAAAAAAGTTGGAATAAAAATAAAGTCTGTTACTGAATGAATTTTCAAAGTACAGCTAAATATTTTGAATCGCTTAAATTGGGCGCTGGGCAAATTGACTATATCATCAAATAGAATCGATAATAGAATAGTTTCTATTTTAATTTCGTCATATATTTTTTGTGATTTTCAATTATGATAATTGATAGGTGCGTCACTATCAAGGAACAGTATACGAATAACTATGAATAGAAACTATAATCAAAAAAGTTTTGGAACTCTACAACTCTACATATTTCGCGAAATAATCCATCGTCGCTCTATTTATCTCTTTGGGCTCTGGCCTGTTCGTTACATTTTCACTTATTTTCATTTATAATTATTAACGTATTAACACAAATACATACACACACAAAGCAAAATGTGAACTCTATATTAAAACTACTTTTGTATTTCCTTTTTTAATTATCTTTTTATTAGGCATTGTTTACCTATGCTGGGGAAGCCCTGGTGAACCGGTTTCTTTTGGAAACCTATAGCAGGCACCAGCTTTTCACACTTGAGTGAATGTATAGTACTAATCATAGTATATAAAAAAACCTGCTATATAACTTTTGGTGAAAAGAACTAAATTATATTATTATTATATTATTTTTAATTATAAAACGAGGACTAACTTTAGTACCAGGTTTAAACCATTATCCGACCAAAATAAGTCAACACGTCAATTTTCACTTCTATCATTGTCAATTTGCTTTAGGTAGCTAATAGTTCTCTTTTCATAATAAGACGGTTGAATGTAAAGAAGTGTTTAAGATACGAACAAACATCATAACATATGTAGAATTTTGGAGTTTCAAAAATGATTTTTAACTACAGTTTAAAATGACTTATATGGTAAATTTTCATACAATTATTTGGTTTACAGTTTCCACCGACATTTCCACCGCAAGCAGTGGACCCTAGATTAGACGTTCCATGGAATGAATTCGTCATCGCTAGCTGTGCTCCTCCCGCAACTCTCCGTACTTTTCTGTTTAGCATTTATCAAGCATTAATATTTAGAAATATGTTGTATAATTTGTCATACTAAATGATTACGTAGCTACGGAAACAAAGTGTTAATGTTATGTATCAGAGAAATAGAAATGAATTTTAAAGGAGTTTCATTTTTCAATCAAGCTTGTAAGAGAAAATTAAGCTTATTTAACACCATGTTTGGAAAGTATGCAACCACTTCTTTCTTTTGCTATGAGTAAAAATAAAAATAATGTTTTTATAAACCCAGGAAATATGTTATTATCTTTGAGATGAAATAGATTGTAAGTACCTTAGTTATTGTAATGTAATAGTAGTATTAGTACTTAGTACTACTACATCAATAGGATTGAGTGAAGCATATCTACTAGCCGATAGAATTTCATTATTAAAAATTCCTGCTAGGATTAAAGTTGTGTCATTCCTTAGATAGAGCGCTGTCGTTTATTATCACTGCCAGGCAGACCACGTGATCACGTCTGCGGTAAGAATGTTCTTTATATTTGCGAAACATAAGTTTATGTGTTTTAATTGTAAAACATATCGGCATTACTATATAAATACGGACTGCTGTGTCTAACGAAAGAAAAATATTTCTACTTTCTTTATATGCTCAAAAGAGGACGCTGTGAGTTCTATGCGTGATTCTTTAATTTAATTTGTTTTATTATTTTAGATTACGTTTATTTCTATTTCGTAAATACTTTTATTTATATGTAGGTATGCAATTTATATATTTATATCTATGTATACGAAAGAATTTAAATATTTATGTTAATATTATAATGTATAAATAAGTATGTAAATCATTAACTATATAATAAATAGGCTGGAGAAACATCTAATTTAGAGTGTTCTACTACGTGGCTTTAGTAAGAGCCACCAAGTCCTAAATCCTAGAAAGAGCGGCGAACAGCGACAACGACGGGTTTAATTCACACTCAGCACGTGACGGTAGCAAGCGCTACCTAGCGGCCAGTTGAACTTCACCCGCGGTCCGCAAGATGGCGTAGTCAGCGTGCGCGATTGATTGCAGAGCGGCGCGGCTCCGCGACCGCCAGTCGTCAGTGTTCAATTCAATTATTAATTCGCCGCGCGAGCCGCGGGCCGTAGGTCGGTCGTGGTCGAGTACGCGGGGCCGGCGCGTTCCCCGTAAGTGTTGTTGTATCGAGTATTTCCCGGTGTTCCAAGTGACTATTATGAGTGACAGGGACAGGTCGTCGCCTTCCCTCACGGACACCCCGCTGAAGACTTACATCGGCAGACACGACGACGACTACCCCCTCATAAACGGAAACGGTGAGTGCTAGTGGGGTTTTCGTGGACGGATATAGCGCGATCACGCGGTGCAACGGGGCGCCGGGGCGCGTGGCTAGGGCCCCGGGGCGCTTTGCCGCATTGAAGCATTCGCGGTGTCGATCGACCCGCGGCCCCTTCCCGAATTCCGTACAACGATGGCCGCTTATACCTACGTATGTCGGATGAATGGTGGTCGAGCGCTATCTTTAGAGTTTCTTTGTAGAATATGACCCGCTGGTAAGGCGCACATGAAGCCGGCACTCGATCAATACGGCAGCCGATGGAAACTAATCTGGTGGAAGTCAATCCCTACCTAAGACACTCTTAAAAGTCGCCAACAGTTTGTTTCATCCAGTGTATCCTTGGAAAGACCTTTGCAATTACTTGACCAACTGCTGGAATTATGATAGATAGGTAGAGTAAGTCAACGAGTTAATAGGATATAATTTGAAATCGGCCTCGTGCGTTTATTTAGTGGAATGTGTACAACTCTATACTTCTCTACATATTTACGACACTGCATAGGTACTGCAGTTTTCCTCAAAGGTATTAACAGGAGTGTTTATCGCATAATGTTAGATATATACACATTATCATATTCATCGTCGTCTATATCTTTAGTAGATAAACGTTCGGTGTCGATTTAAAAATCATACAGCTACAGTTTGCTTAGCGCGGTTACAAAAGTGTTAATCTCTTATGCACGACTCTACCTAAAATAGTGAGTGCAGTTTCAACAGTTTTTCTGACAGATACAGTACTTATTTATTTTAGGTAATACTTTACTATTTGGGGTGGAATATTTTACAATAATATCTATTTATTAACCAGTCCGCACTAATAAATTACAATATTTCTGTCGTATAACGTTCGATCGTCTGTTTGAAGACCAATGTTCACACGATATTTCTCGACTGTCAATATGTTATTGTACAAATTGATGATTAGATTAGATAGAATATAACATTTAGTTTTTATAATTTTGTTAAAGCCATATCCTTGAAAATTATTTGTGCATCAGAGGCAGTCGGTTATTTTGATGCAAAGTAGATTCCTGATAAATTATCGAAAAACGCATTTTTCTTTGAATCCTATTAGTATTTCGAAAATAGAACGAAGTTTCGTTTCCGGAGAAATAGAATAGGCCTTCAGGTATCATGTTATTTGTACCTAGTAGTAGTATATATTCTTCTCCTTGGATTATTTTTAAATATGTCATCCTTTCTTTCACGTTTCTTTCTCGATTTTTTAAAACACCTTAACAGGATTACAAATAGCGCTATCTCTTGGTACGCTTCACAAAAATATACCTATGTCTTTTGTTTCCTTGACATTCACAATACTTTTCATACACGGTCGCTTATTTTTATGGCTTCTGACATTACCACTGATAGGTAATCGTAGTATTTCAAAGTCTACAAGTGTAAGTGCTTCTTGTTTCGGTTAGATACCGCTGGATCTCATTGCGAATTGCTTTGCACTCAGTGTTTGAAACATTGACGGGTAAGTAGTTTAGCAAACTGGATTCAAGGGTGCCAACATTGTTTATCCGAAAAAAAAAATGTGATTTCGAAACGATAATTGTTCTCTAATACATATCTTTCAATAAACTGTATGCCCCTGGAGTTGAGCTTGAATTGGTCTGCTTCAAATGTTTAATCTGCAAAAAGACGATTTTATCAAAATTAGCCGTATAAAAATATTAAGTTTTTTTTTAAGAACAAATACAGTAGGCTGCCTACTTAAAAATGCCTAATATCATTCAAAAATGTCGACGGACTCTCAGAGGGAACATTCAGAACCGCGCCACTTTCTAAATGATCTTAAATGCTATTTAGAAATAAAACGATATTTTCTATAAATAAAATAAATAATCAATTAAACAGAATAATGGATTCAGATTACTTCTATACTTTATATTGTATGTCTGAATATTTATTTTGTTGTTTCTACCTTTTTTAAATAATGTAAAATAAAAAACAAATAAGTTACGTATCAATTATTTCAACACCAGATATTTTGTATTCTTATCTCCGCAATAGTTATGAAGTAAATGATCATATTGTTGTTTTATGATAATGAATATATGTATGTTGCAAAGTTTGCGGCTCAACACGATAGTTGCGTCATTCGAGTACAATATTCAGGAGGTTTGAACCCTGTACCGGCGCCGGCGCAAACCGGCTCCATATCAGTGGTTCCAAAACGGTGGTCCGCAGACCACAAATGGTTCCTAAAAACATACTAAGTGGTCCAGAAGTCTCATAAAATTATTACTTTATAAAAGTAGTCTGATAATTGTATGTAATTATAGATACATAAAACGTACAATAATATTTTATATATCTAGACTTAGATGTAATACTAAACTAAGTGGGTTCATACTTGAGAGGGAAGATAGAAAATGGTCCCTTAGGTCTAAAAGGTTATGAACCACTGCACTATATAAATGAAAAAAAGTTGCCAGATGATATACTTTCTTATCAACATACGCAAGTTTAAATCTTATCTGCGTTTATTTTAAGGCGCGTATTCTTTGATTGATTTCTCGATATGTATGCGGTAAATTTCGTCTACATTATGACGTCCGTAGATTGTAAATTTGAATTACGCACGAATTATTTTTAGTTATCTTGATAGTAGAGAGAAAAGGGAACTATATAAGAGTATTTCGTTCATAAATACATGATAATGCCTGGTGATAATTAAACTTCATGAAGACATTTCTTTTTACTACTACATATTTTTTACTAATATTGATCTAATTAGTATGTTAGAACGTTAAATTAATAGGTATACATAAGGATGTATACCTATTAATTGAAATATAAGGATATTAAAGAAATGCAAATTAGTTTTTATTAAACTATCGATTTCATTCAACATATTTTCGAATTTCGTTGCTATCGAAATTGAATTTAGGCGATACTATTTTTTGTACCTAATACAGTATCGATAGAACAGTTGATAAAACGATCGATATTTATCAAATACTATTATTTCTTTTTGATTAATAATCTTTATAAATAAAATCAAATTACTAGTGATAGTGTAAATTTTTAACAATAATTAAATTGATAAATCGTAGTTTTGCTGAGGGAAGATTTAAAGATATATTTTTTTATGCTAGATCCAATATTTTATCGATATCGCAACATTATTATGATGGTTGTGGTTTATTACATGCACAGGGTATGTATTACAGTTTTAATTCCATGAAATCTTGTCAACGATACGAACACGAACACGCTGTTTTCGATTATGTGTAGTTGTAAACAATGAACTTTTAATATTTGATGTGTATTAAACAACATCAGATACATAGTTCATTCAATAAATTTTTAGCTTATGCATTAAGGAAATCCAAAACAATATATATATAGACATAATATGACCGAAAACGAATAATATGAATAATATGATCTAACCCGAGACTCCAGCAAAGGCGATACTCTAAAACCGGCAGACCGGATACGAACTATCGCCCACGGCAGCCGTTAAATTAAATCTTCATATAATAAAAAAATATATATTCAATGGCAAATTAACAGGTACATCACAGTTGCTTCCAAATGAAGTTTGTCTCAAAAGTTTGACAGCGCACAAACTTTTGAGGCAAACAAACTTTTTACTGCAAAAATACAATACAAGTGTTTGTCGCTATTTTTTTACCTTTGAATTGAATTAGGAATGTTAACTTTTAGTTTATTTGTATCGTAAATTCATTTGTTTATATTTTCTCGTGATGAAGGGATGAAAAAATTACGTTCAACTGTTATTTCGCTATTTAAGGCGGGAAAAAACGGATGCAGATTTTCCGCGAGCTGAAAAGTTTTCCTGTAAGCCGTAACTTCGTCTATTCACAATACAGTAATACAAAGGGACAAGTTCTCTGCAAGATCGCCAAAGGAGTGGTCGGCCACGCTCTGTGAGGACGCCTGCGAACATCAAAATCATCCGAAAGCGACTTGGCCGAAATCTTTTACTTTCATAGTGTAATGTCGTACGGAATCCGATTGTGGGGAAATGCTGCAGACATACAAACGAGTTTTGTGCTTCAGAAAAATGCAATTAGATCAATAATCAATTTAAGGGGAGAAATTTAAGGAAAAAGACATAATGACTTTTGCTTCTCAATACATATACGAGAACTTAATGCACGTTCGTAAAAATAACAGTTTGTTTTCTATAAAAAGTGATGTACGTACACCATTTTAATACAAGAAAACGGTGCATGTCACTCACTAGATTGCAAAAAGTAAGTATTGTGTGGAGTTCCGTATGATAGTGTCACTCCGCTCCATTTCTGCCAACAAGGTGTCTAGGTGAAAGCCAAGAATTATCAAGAGTGACATTTTAGAGCCCGTGGTGAAACCCCTATCTGATAAGTATTTTGCAATAAGGATTGGGTTAATAATAAGCACCCAAGCTTGGTTGAGGGAGAATGTGCCGGCCTTCATCGCGGCGGACGAGTGGCCCTCCACCAGCCTTGACCTCAACCCACTGGATTATTCTTTATGGACTGAATTAGAGCTCAGGGCCTTCCAAAAGTTCCACTCAAACTTGGAGTCACTGAAGCGAACTCTTGTTCTAGAAGCAAAGCGAATTCCGCTAGAAAAAATTCGTGCCGCCATTGATGAGTGGCAAAATCGTCTAAGGGCCTGTATTAAAAACAAGAGTGGCCATTTTGAATAAAATATATATTTTATTGTTGATTACTATCTATTTAGAGGGTACTGAACATTTTAGAATTAAAAGTTATTTATTAAAAACGTTACGCAACTTTTATTTCGTCTCAAAACTTATGAACACACACAGTACGAAGTAAGTACAGTAAACATTTATTGCTAAGTAAAACTCGATAACGGGTAGTCCCAATTTGATTTATGTTAATAATTTAATTTAATATACAATAAAGAAACTACAAAATAGAAATTATACAATGGGCGGTTCCAGACACTATATATATAGATGTCCATTATCTTACACTCAAGACACGC